GGCGATGCATTACGCCATATATTACGTCGAGTTATAATATTAGCCGAATACAGTGAAACGGAGGATCCTCATGGCGGCATTAGCGGTATCGCGTTTCCCGCGATATCCGACCGGTTCGGACGAGCTCTCTCGCGCGCGGATCGATCACTTCATAAATTTGCGATGCAGCGCTACACGCCGTGCGTGTCATATCGTACGTGTAACGTTAAATTTTCAAGCCGATTGAACCCAGTCAACTGAAACCAGCGACCAGCGTACTCGTGTTTCCGTTTCTCTCGCGTGATGTGCCTCGTTCGATATCTTTTTTTTGTTATTCAAATTGATCGCGCGCAGCGATTAAGTACGTTCGACCCTCGGAAAAGTCTTCCTTTACGCGCGTTATTTTCTATCGCACGTATTCGCGAGCCCCGCGGGTTCGAGAGATCCGAGGGAAACGAGGAATTAACGCTGAGGAAAAATTACGAAGACAAAGAAGAGCGAGGGATATTATAACAAGTAGTGTGCGCGCGGGGGTTATTGGCGGAGACCTCGCTTTGATTTAAATTCGATAGGGAATCGTCGAGAGGAGGTATTCGAGGGGCGATAACTACGGAGGAAGGGAGAATCGCCGAGAACGTATTCTCTCACACTCGATTCTCATAATGCGATATCGAATTTGGCATCGCCCCAAGAGGCTGACGATCCCCTTATCGAGAGGGGATCGGCGGGTCGTCGAAAGGACGAAGCACCACCGAAGTTCCACCCCGTTCGTGCTCCTAGCGACTTCCGCGAAAACTGCAATTTATGAACGCCGCTTCCGTCGGCTCGGAGCGATATCCCGAAGTTCGTACGCGCACGCCGAAAAATGAGAACAGATGTGTTTACCGCGCGCGTTCGCGAGTTATTAATCACTTTTTATCCGGAGGCTTCCCGGAGAAGGCGAGAAAAATGTTGCCGCCTCGCATGGCCTCCCTCGCGCTGTATCTCGCAGGGAATTGCGAATTACGAGCGCCGAAAAGACCGTTGTTGACCTTCCGACGATATTAATATCGCACCGTCGGGACACGAGACTTCACGTAGGGAGAAATACGTCTGACAAACCGTGTAGGTTTGTTAATTTTAACGACAAATCCTGTGTCCTTCGACGTGAAAAGGAGAATGCCGAGTTTATTTTTCCTCGAGAAAAATATCATTGACGTGACGCGCCGGGAGGATTAATAACGTCTTTCTCTCTCTCTCTCTCTCTTTCTCTCTCTTTCTCGCCCCTCGGGAGCTCGGAAGAAAAACGAAAGGGCTACGCGACTTCGGAGATATTTAAGGGGTCTTCGGAGAAATTGCGAATTATGCGCCGTCTGATCGCGGAATATAAATGAGAAGCGGCCTCTGAAAAGCGGCCTTTAGTCATACGTTCCGACTATCCGATTATCGTGCCTCGGGGCTGGAAAAAGGAGAGAAGGAGAAAGAAAAAACGAGAATAATCCAGGATACTCCAGCGCTTCGCGATTTGCCTTTGACATAATATCGGGAAAACTTTTAATTGCGCTGCCGAAAAGTATCGCGGAAAACTGGACTCCTGAAAGTCCCGATAAAAGCCGAATCCACATCACGTTCGAATGTATCTCGGTAAATAAACGCGAAGTCGGATTCTCCGGTGAATACAAAACAAACGTTCTCTCGTCAAGAAAACTTTTCACCCTCCGAATAAGGAGTGTCAAAGAAACGAACCACTTAAAGGGGGAGGATTCGCATCAAGTCAATATTCCCGTATTTGAGATAATAAGGCGTACGTTTTGCAGAGAGTTTTTTTTATAATCTCGCTTTCATTCGAAACTCGGGACCGTTTCCGTGTCGAGATGACCCGCATGACTAATGAATCCGCTCCCGAAAGCGGCCAAGGCGAGCTTTCAGCGAGTGAACCCGCACGAAAGAGCGAGAGAGAGAGAGAAAGAGAGAGAGAGAGAGAGAGAGCGTTGTCGAGGGTTGGCAACGTCAACATTAATACTCTTTCAGCCCTTATACCTTCCAGCCGTCCGCCCACGAGACGAATTAATGTTTTCGCAGATACGGGCCATTGATTTTACGTCAAATATGGTTACCGGGGTTCGGTTACCTTTGCCCACCTGCGCCGACATTCGACTCCGATATCTGTTCTCGCACATGTAACCACGTTAAACCGCCTACCACTACGGTTAAATTTGGACAACGTAACTACGTGCGTACTCGAAGCGATTTGACCTCGATCAAACAAATTCGCGCCAACAGGTTGGACAGCGAAGTGTCCAGTTCTATTTATCATCGTTCGCCAAAGCAATTAACGCGAAAGAAAGAGAGAGAGAGAGAGAGAGAGAAAGAAAGAGAGAAAGAGAGAGAGAGAGAGCAACTGCGCGAGCGAAATGTTCGTCCGACCGTTCTGGAAATAATTCCGCCGTGAACGTTCGTGCGTATTTTTCTTCCTTTTTTTCAGGAAAATTAACTCGATATTCTCCCTATCGTCCTTGCTCTAAAAAGAGGAAAAGGATTAAGAGGAAATGTAGGTTGAATGAAAGCCGGACGCAGTGGATTAATTCGCGCTGTATAGCTTACATTCACTTGACTCGTGCACGTTCAATGTGGCCGCATCAGGACGAATTAATGCACTGGATTGTACCCGCTGCAACGGACACGTTGCACACCTCGCGCGCACCAACGTTACCTGCCACGTGTTTCTATCGGAGAAACCATCGGGCACCGAGCATTCCAAGCAATAATCAATAAATGTCGCCTCTATACAAATCCCGAGCACCGAGCACCAGAACAAATCCGACTATTAATTAGATAGGTCCCTTTAAAATTCTCTCTCTCTCTGTCTATTTTAGGATTACATTCATTCCTAGGAGATTAGAGTTAGAGTCAGGAAGCGTAGAAACAGAGGTAAATGGCGAATGTCGGGAAACGAAGATGCTTTACGAAACGACCGGCTAACGTTCCTACAGAAGTCTCTTTAAAACAATAATTACAAATATGAAATAATCTCCTGTAGGAGTACGTCTTTGTACGATCGTGCGGACGGTATACGCGCGAAGGAAATTAAATCTGTGCGCTCGAACGGCCTTCATACAAGAACACGATTGGATCAGGCAATCTCTAAATTGTGTATGTGTGTGTGTGAGAAAGAGAGAAAGAGAGAGAAATAGAGAGAGAAAGAGCTTTCTAAAAGAAAAATTTCATTTCGATAACCACTTTATTAGATAATATTATTTTCCTTTCGCGTAATAACTGGCGGTTAGTGTTTAAATTTCATTTCGAATTTCATCCATGAGAACGATTTATAGTCTCTCATTCGAAAAGTTTCTCAGGAATAAATTTTATTAACCCCTTTCGTCCTCTCTCTCTTGAGAGCAGCTCCTGATCCTGTATCCACGAGGAAGGCATTAAATGGGGGTAATTAAAACGGAATTATCAAATAATTACACCGCCTGTGTATGTGTGTGTGTATGTGCGTATTTCCTGACAGAAATATATGTCAGAGGTACATCACCGCTCGACCCCGCGTAACTTCTGAAGTTTTCTCATTTCGAGTTCGTTAACACGCGAAACTACGGCTTACTTGGAGCCTTCATCCGAAGTCAGGACCTTACTGACTTACGTGTAACATGAATTATGCAGCGTTATTTTAAACTGGATTATCCTACGAGGGCGCCGAATAACTCCGCTCCAACTTTGATTCACGCAATAAAGAAACAATGATATCCGCGGTATAAGATATATAATAAATCTCCCGGTCATTAGATTTTACGATGATTTAGAATATTATATTTATTAATTATTAATAGGGGAATTCTCTCTCTCTCTCTCTCTCTCTCTCTCTCTCTCTCTTTCTTCCTCTCTTGTTTATAATCATAGCTTGAGAAGAGAAAAGAATCGTTATTAGACACAATATAATTAACATGACGCTAAGTCGAGTGAAATGTACACTGAGAAAAAAGACTTAAAAATTTATTTGTAAAATATAAGGTTTATCTCACAGAAATAAATATTTATTCAAATACAACGAAATAAAATTTTGTTTCTAGCAAATAAACCAATTGATAAGAAAACTTAGGTATATTTCACAAAAATATATATTCTATCGTCACAGTCAAATTATTTTCCAATTAATAAATATGAGAGAAAATGTCAGAAGAAACATTTACTTCAGAAAACTTCAATTTCTTCTTCTCGATGTGTGTAACTTAACACGAGAAAGTGTGCCGAATCGTGATGAATTAAACACATAACAAAGAGAATCCGTGATTACTGTAATCGCGATAGAGATAATGACGGAACTAATCATTCACACCGAACTTCAACAGTGATAACTCGCGAAATGGTAGCATGCAAAATATACATACGTATAACGTGGTTAATCCCAGTTAGATAACGTATATACGCCCGCAATATAGTCCGAATATACTTCCCGTTTCTCCACATACGCGCGTGTTTACGTAAGTACACACGTGTACACACGGCGCAATAAATCTCTGCGATTTTCAAGGAAGTCCAGGAAGTTCGGCCGCGTTTGCCAGTTATGTTTCGCCTTATCTGTGGCGGATGAGCGACCGATCTCCGAAATTTGATAAAACTCGCCGTTCACGCACCCCTAATCACGCAACCCTATCGTTACTCCCGAAACAAGTCGACCACCTGCGGTGAAGATACTCCGAATAGATTGTAGGAAGGATCCAGGATCTATAGGCGATCGTGAATTACCGTAGATCACCCACAAAGATAGAGGCTCCGCCGACGATAAAGTTCTAAATGAAAACCAGCGGGTAGCATAAATCCAGCCTAATTTTGCTAGATCAGTCCGCAACTCTGCCGAGTCCGACGAGTTCGAGATTGAGAGAAAGAGAAAGAGAGAGGACGAAGAGGGAGGGAAAGAGACCGTCTCTGATACTCCCGCGAGCTTAAAACGGCGCGATGAGAGCAATTAGTCCGAAATTACTCTCGTAATTTTTCCGATACACACACACACACACAGGCGCACCGCCGAAAATTTCCAGACGGCGATCGAGTGAAATGGCTGAAGAGCAGCCGAGATACAAATTGATCTACTTCAACGCGCGAGGTCGGGCCGAGCACATTCGCTACATATTCGCCTACGCGGGCATCGACTACATCGACGAGAGGATCACCAACGATCGCTGGCCCGAGCTTAAGAAGTGTAAGTACAAGAGAGAGACATTACGTGGCTGGAATAATAATTCCGCTTCCTCGTTCGAACGTTCGTTCCGTTTCTTCGAGTGCTATGTAAATTTGTCTGTTTCTCCGTCGCGCACGTGGCCTCGGCGAAATGATTCCCCGGCTGAGAAACTGCGTTCCGATTCTTGAATAAATCCCAGGTAGAAGAAAGAGGCGAAACTCGAAGTGAATGACAAAGATTAACTTCCACGTTCAGTCGTGAATCACATCTGGAGAATTAATTAGGTCCGAAGTGATCTCTCGGTCTCTTTAACTAATCGATCGAAGATAAACGGCTTTGTCTTCCTGCATTGACTCGAGCACGACCTGTCGGTTGCTTTCTCTCTGTTCCCCAGCGATGCCTTACGGGATGCTGCCGGTTCTGGAGATAGACGGCAAGCCGATAGCGCAGAGCAATGCCGTGGCGCGTTACCTGGCTCGCGAGCACAATCTCGCAGGCAAGGACGAATGGGAATCGATGCTGTGCGATGTTCTGGTCGATACTTTGGGGGACCTGAAACAATGTAAGTGACACGCGTCCCTGCGATGCACAGCTCGTTACGAAGCCGGGTGCTCTTCTGCGAAAGCTGCTCACGATGCCGTGGGCTCCAGATCGATTGTGTCTCGTTACGAATCCCCCGGAGGGAAATCCCACGCCACTTATTTCTCGCAAACGACCGAACTTTTAAGTTTCGCCGGTTCGCCGTTCAATTTCAATTTCATCGAGCGGGCCCGCGCGATCGATAAGCGTCCGTATGACGTCCGCGCTTTCTCTCCCTTTCGCCGTGATCGCGCCGTCGAAGATCGACTGGGAGAGCTCGAGGGGTTTTTCCCTGAGAGAGGAAGGTAGAGAGGAAAAGAACGTTACGCGGGCAATACGCCTCGGTATAAAACTCTCGGAAAATTCTGACGCGACCGGGACGGGCGCGAAACTCCTTCCGCTTTCCGCTCCTCTGAAAGACACGCGTCTCTCTCTCTCGCACTCGCTCGCTCCCTCTCTCACACTCTCACATTCTTTCCCTCTCCCCCTCTCTCTTTCACGTGACCTATTTTCACCGGGGGGTTCCGATATAATCGAGCGGATGCTGCCGACCGTCGTGGAAGAGCTTTTCACGAGATGCCGCGTGTAACGTGAATACGATACCACATTGGGTCGCCGCCAACATAATCTCGAGTAATAATAATACGCGGCATCCAATTAGACTCCTTAATGAGACACTCTAACGGTACGGTTATTGGATAGCTCGCGTACTTCCGCCTGATTTAGTCGCTATTATAGTCACTCAGCTAGCAGTTCGTGCGCAGAACAGTTTCGCAATTTAGCCGGATGTTTGCAACAAACACACACCGTCGATCACAGCGTGTGTTATTATTACTTGATACGGAAGAAACTTTGGTGCAGAGAGGGAAGTCACTGAAGCCCCGCACGCGATCTACTTTCCAGTTATTTTTCAATATCGCACCGAGGAGGATCTTTTTAAGAAAGAGGAGAAGAAGGCGAAGCTCCTGAAGGAAACGATACCGTTCTACTTGAATAAGTTCGAACAGACTGTCGCTGAAAACGGCGGTTACGCGGTGGGTTCTACGGTAAATGTTTAATATCATGCTGAGATCAATCACACTATACTTGCCACGTGACTCAATATTTTCATTTTTGTTGTTAGAACAAACAAAATAAAGAAATATATAGTCAAATATATAGTTCAAATATATAGTCAGGAAAAAATTAGCATCAATTCAAGGTTCATGCACATACACAGATGTCCCAAACCGTTCTCGGTTCCCGTGGTGTGCAGGTAGAACGGGTGGAACTGAATAGATTATGAAACTGAAGATAAAACTTGCTATTACACGAGGAAATTCTATATAATTCCACTAAAAATATCACTAAAAATATCATATTCTTGTTATAGTTAGTTATATGGTTATATATTCTTGCTATATCCGAGTCGAAATTTTAGTCCTACTTTAAGTGTTTAAGTAATTTAGTCCTACATAAAGTGTTCAAAAGTTTTCTATCGTTTGATACTGCAAATAGAGAAGTTATTGCCCTATTGCCCTATTGTTGTCTCCACTTGAAGACTTAATGTAGAACTAAAATTTAGGCTCTGGAAGACTAAATATCCTTTGTAGCATTAAAAGAGCACTTATTGTTTCTCTTCAAAGTTTGTCGAATTAATTTTTTAACATCTAGTATATTCTTGCTTATATATGAGAATGTGAGTCCTAAATTGATACTAATTTTTATTAGTATAGAAAATTGTGCGATCGTTTTCTCTTTAAGTTTTGTATTTAACGGTGTCTCATTGTTTCACAGCACAACAAAAACAAAAATTTCCATTTTGCTTATGAATCTCTGCGACGACCAATATGCTTTTCAGACTACATGGGCGGACTTTGTGTTCACGGTGGCGTTGGAAAACTTCGAGAACATTTTCGGGGCGATGGCGTTGGACAACTATCCGGCGTTACGCGGCTTGAAGAAACGAGTGCACGAAATTTCCGCCATCGCCGACTGGCTGGCCAGGCGACCCCATTCGGAGTTCTGAAATGACGTCACGACGAAAAACCGGAAGGCCGAACACATCGACATGAAAAACAAGTACATATCCGCACTTCTCCGGCTCATTATCCCGCACCGGCAACGACAGAGAGAGGGAACGTTTTTCGCGTGCATTACTAGAGAAAAGGTTGATATTATTACTCGTACTTTATGCCCTTGCTCAGATAAAACTGCAATATCTCGCTTGTAACACGACATTCAAAGAAAGAGGCTCGGCATTTTAAAGGACACACCGCGCTGTAAAACTCATTCCTTCGTTATAAGTTTGACACATTTACGTCCCACGCGAAAAAATATACCGCGAAAATATATAGCATCCCGAAGAATTTCTCGTTTAGCCCACCTTTGAAGGCGAGGGAAAACCAAAGAGAAAACGAACAACCCGCTTTTTATCTACAGCAAATTTAGAAAGCAATTTAAACGCACACGCGAACCACAAATCTTCGCTGTCTCATCGATCGATCACAATTTGTGTAAGATTCAATTTGTCTTCACATTGGTGGCGAGTTGTACGAAAAGAAAAAAAGCGAACAAAAAAATTAAACTTCGCGGAACTGTTGACGAGTGTTAAGAATGTAACGAAGCTTATATTCAATGTGTTCATTATCGTCCATCATGCGTGTATACGTGTGCGTGAGCGGTGCATTGCTACACATAATTTCAATTGCGCGCGTCGCGATAGAATGTCGAGATTAAATGTAACGAGATAAGTACTTCGAGCGCATATCTCACGATGTAATCAATATGCTTGTTCCTCACACAGAGACGGACAGAACGCTCTGCTGATTTTCTATTGTCCCTATTTTATTTCGAACGAAATCAAACCGAATCGGAGCGTGGCGAATGGAGATACGATACAATACAGGGTAACACTATAAATGCGCGAAAAGCAGAAAAATATATATATTGAACGAGATGAAATTTTATCGTAATACAATTGTAAAGGTAATATCACAACAATGAACACTCGATTTTTGCCGTGACGAGAGAGAGAGAGAAAGAGAGCGTATATAGCAACTTAATAAACTGTACCGTGCAACATTTTAGTGGCAACGCACCGTGTCAAGGGAGATGTCGAGCGAAAAGATGTGCTTTTATCGTGTAACTCATTGTTAGAAAGGGAAGTAACAGGCAAGTAACAGCGGTGCTTCCTAATGTGCCGTAATACAGATAATAAAGAGCTTTGTGAGCTTTCATTGACGCTTCATTGGAGAACGTATTCGGCGTACGGCAACACAGTCAATTGTAATTATCGAACGAGATAGAGGAGAGGTTAAGAGAGAGAGAGAGAGAGAGGTATATGTCTAAGCGCGGATGTATGTGTAACATTGTATGTAATATTAAGTGTAACGTTAAGTGTTGAGATTACAGATGTAATACAAATGTTATTGCGGTTATACGAAATGGTGCGACTGATAATAATAACGTGACATATGAATAAGCATCGTTCTTTAGCATTTGTGTTTCCAAATAACGTGGTCAGTTACAAAAAGGTCGCAATACTTCTTTTTCGATGAGTTTCGCTAAGTATCTCGTATACGATAGAAATATGTACCCACTATGGAAAAACAAATTCTCCTATTGGGCACAGGATACGTTTCGAAATTTATTAAAAAAAAAGTATTGCAACTTTGTTGTGATTGACCGTACATACTTCCCTCTTCTAAATCAGTCGATTGTATTATGGCTTTAAGAGATATACAATTAAAAATAACAATATTTATACTTGCCTGTATGAATTAGTACGCATACGTCCCAACGCATTCGACTCTTATTGGCCAAATATAAATATTCTTATTTTTTATTGTCCCACTTAAAATGACGAATGGAATGAATGATTTTTCAGTATTTACTTGCCTTCTGTTTTCTTCGGTGGGTCATAAGCGCAGAAAATACTGAAAAATGAGTTCGGTTGGAGTCTATCAACAGAAATTTTGGTTGATGGAAACAGAATTTCTGAAAAATAGATAGATAAGAAGCAAATTTGGTTCATGCGAACTAGAAATTTTGTTTCTTCCAAACAAAACGCGTTTGATAGTCCATTGTCAGGTACACTAAAAAAAAGTATTTAAATATTTATTTGTAGAATACATTGAGAAAAAAGATTAAAAATTTATTTGTGAGATGTATGTATTTGTGAGATGATTTATTTGTAAGATTTATTTCACAAAAATAAATGTTTATTTAAATACGGCGAAATAAAATTTTATTCCTAGCAAGTAAACCGATTAATAAGAAAACTTAAGTATATTTCACAAAAATATATATTTCAGCATCACAGCCAAATATTTTTCTAACCAATAAATATCCAAGAAAATGTCATAAAAAATATTTACTTTGCAAAATTTCCATTTCTTTTTCTCGGTGTATAAGGTTTACTTCATAAAGAAGATTTATTTCATAGAAATAAGGTTTATTTCGCAGAGAAATAAAGTTTATTTCACAGATAAATAAGATTTATTTCACAGAAATAAAGTTTATTTTACAAAAATAAGGTTCATTTCACAGAAATCAACTTTATTTCTGTAAATAAACTTTATATCTGATAAAACAATTTTTAAGTACTTTTTTCACAGTGTAGATCCAACCAAACCTATTTTCCAGTGAACATAGCGATGTAGAACTCCGAACTGCTACAACACGCAGCGAACGTTTCGTTCGATTTTCTTAACGGTTCACTCTGCGAGATGTTCACTTTGTGCGACACTTTATGCGACACTTTAATACTATTTTTTTACGACGAACGCACAAAACTTATAGCATTTTTGACTCGTTGACTCGACTCGGGCAGCGTTCCAATATTCTTTGCAGTACTACAATCTATAATTCGTTACGTATATTATAGTTTATAATTAGCGGAACACTGGTCGAGACGGCAAATTGGAAACGTCATTATTCTCGGTAGCCGATAGCACTTCGTACACGCAAAACTCTTCCTCGTTACTCGGAAACGTAAAGCTAACGAATCTAAGGATTGCAAATGTATATTCGGTAAATATACAGCATAACGTTTTCCCCTCAGATTGAATTTTCATCCGATTATTCATCCCTCAAATTTTGATCCCGATTTTTCTAATAAATTCAGTCTATAAATTAGCATCACCGACTACGTTTTGAACTGCTAGTTATTATCCATTTGTCTGACTGAATATGACGTGTTTTAAGGTTATAACAGCAAATATTTTCTGTTATATAATTGAAGTTAGACACAAGTTAGACATAAAATTTAATTAGGAAAATTATCATTTTTCTATTTACCGACATAATAAAACCTTGAAATAAAAAAAAAGAACAGTAAACGAACGACAAATTTCGTTTTCAGAAATTAATTCTACGCATTGAAATACACAAATTATCAAAATTTCAAATAGATTTGAGAGGAGACCGTAACACTGTATATTTACCTAAACTTCAAATCGAAAAGATGCGGCGATGTTTCACTTGGCAACTTGGTTTCCAACAATTCGTTTCGTGCAACGGTCACTTTCGACGACCGTTTGACGACGTCATGTCGCCGTAATATTCGCGCGACACTCATTCCCCCGACAACGATAATTCGCACGCGAGGCTCTCTTTCTGCATTCGAAAACGTGAAGCACAACGACCTCACGATAAGATTTCTAACTGCCGTAATGCAGCGATCGCGCGTCGTCTCACTTGGCGTTCTGATTTCGCGAGACAGCCGCTTCCGGCGACTGTTTACTAACATCTCTTTGTAACACTCGCGCGTGTAACTTACTTTCGGTACTTCAAACAACAATTCGCGCATGAGATTCACCTGCAGCCAGATGAAAACAACGAAAAATACGCAATGGCTTCCCGAATCCGAACCGTCGCGAACCGAGATTCTTTCGATGTATCGATTCTCTCGACTCAGAGAGCCGGCCAATCACGAAACTTTGTTCCGCTGTAGGAACCGCGCGATACAATAAAAATACATAAGATTCTTCGTATATTCGGAATGTATTTGCAATACTAATAAAAATCCCTGAATTATAGTTCATTTATGATTTTGCGCTCGTGAATCTCCTGTATTTTACAAATAATAACAAGTCTTGCGTCGATAAAATGCGAATTATCGAAACCGAACGACAATTGCGATTCCATCTATCGAGGCTATCGATACCTGGCACGGAACTGCTATCGATATCGCGTTATTATCACGGGCTCATCCAGATTTGCGTGTTCGTAATGTACGTTTTGTAGTTTCGCTGGCTGAGTTCGCAGGAAAGTTTCGCACCGAGCTCGTCTTGCGCGACCGTTCTGTCTCGCAAATGGTAACTAACGTCGGCGGAGTAGCTCTGTAAAAAGAAATATGGCCGCGACGGCGAAAACCGTACTGCCCGAGGAGAGCGAGCTAACCGTTCAGGAGATCAATGTTACCTGGCCAGTACTCCACACTGCATCAGTTTACATCGGCAAGGCTTGCGAGTGGTACAACAATGTGAGTTACAAGCGTTACATGCGACGAATAAATTTCGCAATGGTCTGAACAACGACACGATATTTATCTTCATTCGCCTCCCAGTGAGGATTACATAATAATGTGTCCGAATCCCCCGACGACGTTTGACATGTACCCCTTTGTAAATAGTAACTTTCCGTGTACTCCTTTCATTTGACATTGCACAGTTTTATGTTCACTCACCGCTCTTTATGATAAGGTGAACACGAGGACGATGTCGTGCTGGAGATGAAATGATTTTTATATGTGATACATGTATTTACATTTAAACATAACCGACTTCAAGTCGGTATCTGTACAATTTGGTACTGTGCAAGTGATCTACGCACAAATTATATTTTATTGAAGATAGATAGTCTTCTGAATATATGTTATTTTCTGCAATTTAGATAATCCAGAAACTTACATAACAGAGAATTGGTTTTTATTAGTCATATTAATTGGGTGACTTTTGTGAAGGATTCGAGTAATCTCTGTGTCATCCATAAGAAGTTTATTTTCCCCTTCAGGATTACATGCTATGTAGAATGGAAGAAGCTGACCCGCGTCGTTGCCTCAACGAAGGGAAAGCTGTGACAGCTTGTGCTTTGGATATTCTTAAGAAGATGAAAAAGCATTGCCTGGAAGATTTTAATGCATATATGACTTGCCTCGAGAGATCATCGGGAACACTAGAGCTTTCTCTGTATGTTATTTCTTTTTATTTCTTAATAATAAGAGGAAAAACCTCCTGAGAGTTGATTACCCTTTGTTAGTATCTTGTGTTTACTGATCGTAACAGTATAATAATACGAATATCACACTCTCAGATGCCGAAAAACGCAAGCTGCCTTGGACCAGTGTGTTCTTAATAATTTGAACATAGAACGTCCACCGTACGGTTACTTCTGTGAGGCTAAGATACATCACACGTCGAGACCACGACCGGAGATTCCACAAACAACATTTCCAGATCCGGTTCCTGGAATTCCGCCCGACCAACCACGTGAAAAAGGGAAATACCATAATCGCACCTGGTACAAAAGTTAAATCTCTCGAGGAATTACCGCTAGTACTCCGGTCGTGCTGTTACGAAAGTTACGTTGCCAGACGATTCGGGGTGCTTCAGGTAATTAGAAAATTATAGAGAATCGAGGGTGTGTCGCAGTCGCGTTTCTGAATACTGTAGAAACATTCGTTTCGTATGGAAATGTATAGAACAGCCACTGTACATGTGACATTGTTAATATAAATTAATGAACAGCAAAATAAGTGATAACTCTCGCTTGTTCGTTGTTGTTTCGCCTTGTATAAATATAGATACCGTCACTATACCGTCACGTTTTGTGTTTGTCAACCTTAATTGTATCGATATTATTACACAATAGAAGGTACTTTCGCAATCAGATTTCATGTTTAAAAATTGTATAAAAAATTTCCTTGAGTCAAACCATGGCAGACCGTAGGAAATGTACCAATTAATATGGAGTACAGAATTCGCGGATGGTATTTTTAGTTGGGTGAGAAACGTGTACAAAGAGATCGATTGAGTTTTTCGAAAAAAACTATATACTTCGTTCATCATGACAAATGACCTTGTAACAAAACTTATCGCCACAAAAGCAGCATGAGCAAAAATATATTAACATATTCTCGTTTTGGAAGATACATTAATTAATCGAAAGTATTGCTTCATCAACGCTACGGCATTTTATGTACATGAAGCGTGACAAATTTCCTCACACACTTTCGTAGTAAAATTCGTCAGTCACTTGCATGCACGTAAAAAGTGGTGGGTGCAACTCTTGAGAAGCACGAGATACTTCCTTATTCAACGAGGTACTCACTCCATTCGTATATATATCACAAACTTATATACCTATTAAAGAATATGTTAATAGCTTTTACGGGAAAAGTCGCACATTTTCCGAAATCGACGAATAATGTTACGCCGCTATATCCCCAACAGTATAGTCTTACGACGTAAACAGAAGTAACTGTCAGTTCATCATAAACAATATCGTTCGCCTAGTCTGTTGCTTATCGAAGGAAAAAAATGCACGGAGCATTCCTGGAATCTACAAGTCTCTCGAGAGCACAATCATGTGTTAGCTCCATGTGATGTCATAGCCGCTCCAGTTTGCACTCGGTGCTAAATGCACGCGTCGTCCGTTATAGAAAAACGTAACCACGCCACGGTATCCAGATCTGGGTACACCGCTCTGTAACAGCGAGAATAACACTCTGTTTAGCAGCAAATTTTTACACTTTCAGTAAACACCAACAGTAACATAATATCAATGTTATAATTTCCCATTCAACAATGTAAGTGAAATATAACACGCGTGTTGCGTAACAGTTACATTGTTGAGTGAGAAATTATAACATTGATGTTACGTTACTGATGGTTAGCGTTTACTGGGTTTAAACCGAGACGCGAATCTTGTTAAACAGATGCATTACTCTAAAATCGTCCATTAAACCGAGCAATTTGCTGGTATTCTTAAACGATTGACGAGTATAATAGGGTATCCGTACTGGACCAGGAGCAACTATGTTCCCACTCTTCAATTCCGAATAGCTAACCACCGTCGACTGATACACATCATTGACGAAAGCTATATCGTAATTATCCTGTGGAGATCACTCAGTAATTATACATACACTTCGTACATTGAACGTGTATATACATATATTCTCCAAAGGTATCTAATATTCTCTTACTTTTAGCAAATAGGATAGATTCATCTTGGTGAAAGGCACAAATTGTTCATTCAGCTTGATATACTTCAAGTGTTTTTCAAAGAATAAGCCGCTGAAAATGAAACGAAATAAGGATATCGGTTAATCTGCCCAAACCATATGCATATCGTAAATCAGTTTCACTTGTAACATTTGCAGAATTATTTCCCTCTCTGTGGTGTTCTTATATGATACATAAATAAAATTGCAATAAGTACTTGCTAACTCCAAGTTTCCCGAATGTCCTAGTTCGCGATATTTCCGGGCGGATGCAAGCTCTATTCTTACGTTGCTCCGGTTGCCTTACCCAATCGTCCCAATACCTAAGCAAAAAATGTATGATCGAAAAGCATAGAAATAAGCCAAAATACATGAATAACCAAATAATGCACAACAAATACATATACAACGAAATATGTACGATTACGATTTGGCTTACGATTTGGGCCACTTTGGTGCGAGTTCCAGCCATAAATCACGCGTAAGCATCCAACCTAAGCCAGGGAAGAAATCTGTCCTATAAAGTAAATGTGGTGCGTGCTCGTCCACTAAATTGGCTTTACCATTATCGTTCCATGCTGACACACACCATAGAGAGCTATCATTTACTAAAAGGGGGTAAGTCCCCAGGAAGTACTCGTAGAAGTCTGGAGCAACATCCAAGTCATCTGTGCAAGAATTACAAGCGTCACGCACATCGGTTTGTTAAATTCGGATCGTCAAAACTTGGCTATCAGGCATACCTTCAACTATAATTGCAGTATTGTATCCAAGTTTTACAAATACTTGGTTTAACGCCCATTTATAGTGTCGAGCGATTTTGAAGTATCCTCTAAATTTCTTTTCCTTAGGTGGTATGTCAATATCTGATTGATCAGGTTGCTGAAATAATTCCAAGGAACGTAAGAGCACCATCATAGAAACATGCTTTTATCGAAATCACAAATAATGATTACCCAGTAAACACCAACAACATTACAACAATGTTATAATTTCCCATTCACAATCTGTTATATACAACGTATGTTATATCGTACTTACATCGTTAAGTGAAAAATAACATTGATTATAACATTGATGTAACGTTACTGTTAGTTGATATATTTCCTCAATTAAAACTATACACAGATAAGATCAGATATGATAAGATCAGAATGGTGTACCTTTATATGTAATAACTGATTTCCATATCTTGCTATGACATCTGCTGTTTGTCGATGATCACAATCTTGCGATACAACTATCGGGAACTGTTCTTTGCTGGGTCTTAATTTTATTAATTGATCTAAACATCGCTCTACCGTAATACGATTACAGGAAACAACCAAAATAGCTATTACTGGAGATCCATCGGGTAGCTTTTGCACCGAGGTAACATCGTGCACTGGCTCGTCCTGTTGAGGCACACATAAAAAATAAAAACTTGAGAATTGTAAATTGCATTCATGAGTTATGGCCATATCGCTGAAATTACTAATAATGATTTAATAGAATCGTTATGTAACCTGATAAAAATTAATTTGTTCTGGTATCTGCTGTAGCAAATTAAGACATGGCAACATATTTTATCAATCTATAAGATTAGATTAATATTTACAGGTAAAATAGTATCGTGTGTTGGCTTATTTCTGGCATTGCTATCTTCTATCTTTTTCAACAAGATACTCTTAACATTATTGTTCTCATGTTTTTTATATTTGTCTTTCTCCGTCTCATCTATTGGCAATTGGGCAGCGCTTGATTTCTCATATTGTTCTGAAACAATAGATTGCATTTATCTTTTCATTGTTCCACATATTTATTCAAGTGTGTACATAGATTTACTTTCAATATTACTTTTACGTCGTTTATTCTCATTGAGTCCTTCGAGAAGCTCCTGATTTATAATTATCTGTTGCTTTACTTTCTTTTCTAATCTGCTAATCTGATTCGACAGTTTATCCTAAAAGAACAAAGACACAGAGAAGTAATTACATCACTATTCTAGGTTTCCTTACGACAGATTACAGTATATTGTAATGAATTTACCACCTTATCCTGGTCCTTGCCGACCGGTTGGTCCAAAAATATAAAGTATGTAACCACAGCCCATAAGACAAGGGACACGAAGATGAGAGTAACCGATCTGTTCCGCATGACACAAGACCAGGTGTCACCGTAACTGTAACATCAAATTGCACTGTAAGAACGAAAGCACACATACCGCAGAACAAGCAAAATACTAACAAGGTTTCCACACGTCGAAGCACACGTCAGTACATATTTGTTATACATGGATCTGTAATGTCCTCGTGATTTTACTTCCCCTGCAAAACCGCAGCAATTGTCACAACTCGTCCGGACGAATACACCAACTCGGCATCTGGTGTTATTTGAAGAGACGTTACTCACTGTGTGCGTGCCTGTGTGTGTCTCTCTCTGTGTACGTGAAAGCTGAGATACACTTCTAATCGTAAATCATACGGAGGTGTCGCACTCCATATTGCGAGCGAGATACATTTATGCGGTCGTGACACAAGACGCAGCGGCCGTCGAATGCATGATTCGCCTTTAACCCGTCGAGCACAATGACCGCGTTTACACGAGCGGGAAATGCTCCTTCTTAACCCGTACGCGCAGGAAGTTCGACGATGCGGGAAAATAGAAGCGGAGACCTCGCATCTGAAACCAACGTTATTCGTCTCAGCGGTCGTTAACGACAAGCGCGGCAATTTCCCGCGATAATAATGCCACGCGTCAATGTTGAGCGGCGATATCGGGGATTTTCACACGAGGCGAACGTCATGGGAGCGTGTCGATGACATTTTGCAGCGCGTCGTAGCGATGGTTTACTCGCGTATCGTGACGACGGGAAACGATATGCACACTCGCGTGGGCTAACAATTTACTCCGGTTGCTCTCGTTAATCGAATTACGGAGAGGAGAGATCGAGGCGGCTCGTTCTGACAGGATGAAAGCCCCCCGTGTGTGGCTGTGCGAGGGGGACAATCTTGAGACGAGATATTTCGCTTGGCCGTATTTTGAACAGCTCTCACGGCTGCGGTGAATACGAGACACGCTTCGCTTCGGTAGCCGTTCTTCCGTCAATCGGACACTGTGAAACGGCCTCCCTTGTCATTCTTCGGCGACTGATCCGTCCCTCGTCGAACAGTCCGATCCGACTGAACCCTCGAGCACGGACGCGATAATCGCCGCCGCGTTGAGCAGCGCGCGTCGCCGATACGCGCGGATGCGAGAGCGAGATGCGCAACCGGGAATCTCGCGTCTCTTATGTGAACCGCACCAAATTACTTTGGAAACGTGCTGCCAAAATTCTGCACGGGGAGAGCAATTGGTAATATAATATACCCGGTAAGCAAGAAATCGTTAACACACAACGTTATTACGGTGATATCTTGTAACATGTAACGTTTTTTCCAAATATGTAGCCTCAATATTATGTACGTTACTGTCAACAATATTTGTGACCGAAACAGTATCATTAAAAAATAACTTCTATATAGCATAATTTTAATATTTAAAGTTATAATGTTATCAAGTAACAGTTTGAAAACATTTATAAAGTATTATGTCGAAATGTTTGCCAAATCCACATAAAATCAATGTTTTGAAAGATTGATTTAATGTTTCATTACTAGGACTGACCGATAAAAATATCTAGAGAAATAGACAAAAGTGCAATTATTGAGTATCCAATATATGTATTTATTGCTTATAATTAACACATATAGTTAACATTAATATTTATTATAAATGAAATTAATATCTTAAATTATACTTTTCATTTAATGTTAAATGTAAAAAAATATCTATATTCTTAAAATTTATAATTATTTTATTTAAAAATATTTGTTATGTTATATATTTATGCAATACAATGAAGAAATGTAAAAACAAATAATTTTCTACAATCCTCAATCAATATTAGTAACTTTGTATGACCGCGATTTAACCTTACTTTACATCCTTGTAAAATGAATGTTATTTAATATATTTTCAGTTTTTTAAACAATTATTTTTTACGGACCTTTAAATATCTTATTCCATCGATAAAACAGCGTTTTTTACATTGATCTCATTTATCAGAAATACTGTCATAATAAGACACTCGATGCATTTATTCCGATTCTGAAATATTTCTTTGGTTTCTCATTTTTTTTCTTCAAAAAATAACCGATAAATCTATATTTACAATGTCCCTAAATAACAATAAGTCGCAGAGCAATCGATAATATGCTATATTTTGTTAACAATAGCATCTTTTAATCGGGGTCTAAATGACCCCGGGTGGATCGTTCACGTGAAGAAAAAAAAAAGTTGACTATTCCTGGCTTGAAATAGAAGGCGGGAGAGCCGCCATGTCGACTGAAGTCGCGCTCGCCGCCGTTAGATGATGTTCGCGCGACGCTCTCGTCGAGCGCACGTGAGTTTGGCCACTCTGGCGACAGTCTGTGCTGGTCCGCGCCCGTGTAAAGTGTAGCCGAGTTTGCGTATCGCGCCAGGTATCGCCGAGCGCGATAGATACGTGCCGAGAGCGTTCCGCACACGCCTTAGCCCGAGAGCGCGCGAGCAACCATCCCCGTTTTTCGCGAGCGTCGTTACGCACCTCTCGCTCGGATCGCGCGCGCCCAGCTCCGTTTGGCGCGGCAACGACGATGACGACGGTGGCAGCAGCGGCTGGTGGTTATGTGTTTTGGATCCGCGAGTCCGTGCGCTCCGATTAGAATGACCGCGAGTGTCGCGCGCATCCATCGCGAATCGCACGACGATCGTGTCGCGGCCAGATAAATCGCTGGCGGCGCCGACGAGGACGACAACGTCGACATCGAGACGAGTCGGCGAGCAAGAGAGAGAGAGAGAAAGAGAGAGAGAGAGAGAGAAAGAGAGAGCCCGCCGAACGGCTGGCGATACAAACGAATGCGCGAATGCGCCCTACGCCGCCGCTAGCTGCGTTCACCGATCCCTCCATCGAACCCGGCCAGCTAGTTATGCTCGGCGAGCTATGCGAGCTCGCGCTTACCGCACGCTCGCTCGCGCCTACAGGGACTACCGCGGGTGTTATGCACCGTTGACGTGCATCCCGGTGTTTTAATATAATACGGGCTCGGCACATCTCACACGCACGAATATCACACGTACATACACACATACATTACGTACACATACCACACACACCCACATTACACGCACACATACACACACGCGCGCACGTACACCCACACATACATACTCTCTTATTATACACATCAGCATGCATATATAGATATATATGTACGTAAAATATATATATGTACATCGCCGGGCGGCGGAAGTGTTTTGCTCGGATCTCCTCGTCGCGCGCGCACAGACTGCGCTACGCTAGGCGCTATACGAGCCTCTACTTCGCCACCTCTCTCTCTCTCCTCTTCGCCTGCCGTCGCGACGCCGGGTACGGCCTACCAAGGAAGGCGATCCGCGCTCGCCCGCGCTCCGTAGCGACTCGACTTGAATCGAGACCGACTCCCCGACGCCGATCTCCGCCAAGCTCCACCGTGCCGTCCCGCCCCGACGTGATTCGCCCGGTTCGCCCGCCACACGACGGGTTATGTTTCCAACTTTCATCGGGATCCTAGGTGAGTTCGCCGTCACCGGCTGTCGCTTAGAGAAAGAGAGAAAGAGAGAGAAAAACTGCGCAACCGAACGGTATCACCGCGTTTTATACATCCGAGCTTTGTCTTTTCATTAATGACACATATATGTGTATATATATATATGTACACACACACACACATACATACATGTATATATGTATGTATATATATATATATATATATGTAGAGGCACTAACGGCGATAGAAATAGTGTCGCGTCTTCGTGATTGCGAGATACGCACGTATAATGATTTTTGGTTCTTGACTTTCTTATACAGCCTTAGAGATCCTTAAATTTTGTTTACAGGTATCCTCGTATGAGCGTGTACGTGTGTCGTATGCGTGTGTGTGCTCCTTTTTTTCGTACTCCTTTTTTCGTGCGTGCGGGCGTGCGTGCGTGCGTGCGCGCGCGCGCGCGCGCGCGCGCGCGTGTGTGTGTGTGTGTGTGTGAATAAGTTGGTAGCTGTACATTCGATATTTTGCATTTTTTTTTCTTAGTGTAACTTGTGAGTAGAACTATGAAAATAACAATGAATGAATCGATATAGAATGCAATAATATCATTGTAAGTGATTGTTTATGTTTGAGAAAATCACATCAAGTCCAGAGGTCTAAACATGCCGAGAGAAATATGTGATAATTCTTAAATTTACCGAAACACAAACATTTAAACTTTGAGAAGTATCAAAAATATATTAAAAATACATCAATACAAAATATCGATACAAAATACTTTGAAAAAGAAGGAAAACGTTCTATAAACAGCTAAAATATTGCGTCTGCGACAAGAAATATCTTGCAATTGATAACTGTCACTTGAATTTCTATTTCGATTGTCTATTCTCTTCTTGTATTTCGATCGAATTTAAAGAGATATAAAGAAGCTGTTAAAGTTGCATAGTGATTGTGTCACTAAAAAGAAAATCATTAAATTAGAGTGTTAACTCACATGCATTTTTCACAAATGGTGCCGTTTAATCTAAACACAATACAATTAGCTTGACTATCCTCAAATAGTTAGTGGGATTAAGATGAAGGAACTCTTAATTGTTCCTTTATTTTTTTAGACATTCAATCGTGGTGGGAGGTGCCAAGTATAGCACACTTTTGCTCATTATTTAGAGCTGCCTTCAATCTTCTGGATTTTGATATCGAGGTATCTAATTAAATGCTGACTCTTACGAGTAAGCATTGTATACGAAACTCGCTAGTACCGCTTTGGTATTTAGACAGCAGACCGGCTGTCACGCTTCAGCTTGATCGTTTTATTTATCAGCTTATATATATATACACACCATTCTGTTCCCTCCTTGACTGTGAATGTCGCATAGTTAAACCTGTCTCAATATTGATGTCGCAAAATTGTAGGACTTAGAAGAAGCTTTATTAACTGACGGTGGTACCGAGGGACGACTGCTTCAGGAGCTAATAGTGAAGTTGTTGGAAGGTTGTCTGCCAAATGACACTCGCAATGACATCTCTACCTTTAATTATCAGATGTTTTTGCGTAGACTCTTTCGGAAGAAGTGTCAAGTGAGTATCTCCCGAGAGATTGTCCTGCGACATAAAAGTTCCAATCGTATATTGATATTAACAAGCCTGTATCTTTACAGGAATACAAATGTGAAAACCCTTTCAATACAGACGTAGACTTTGAGTTGTTGCCTCTTCGCCAGAAAGTAGAGATACTACGTGCTCTCTGTGACTTCAGGCTCGACGCCGAAGACGTAGTATGTATTTTAAGCTAAGCGAGATATCGCATAATAATGTGTTATGATTGTTTGATATGTTATAATATTAATATTAATATATTAATAATATCATTTATAATTTATAATGTTTAATGACAGGAGCAGTCGTTAAGTAATTTGGACTCGGATAGCTTGCGAGTCGAACCTTTGGGACATGATCGTAAGAATTCTGCCTACTGGTACTTCTACGGCACTCGACTGTACAGGGAGGATTACATTGATACTTCTAATAGTGCCTCATACAAGCAGAAAAGCAAGCCACGGGACAAAAAGCGTAAAAGACGACGGAACAGAGTGGCGAAGGAGGAACAGGAAGAGGAGGAGAAGGAGGAAGCTAGTTTAATAGACAGCGAGAAGAAGGGACGAAAGAGCGTTTGGCAAGTTGTTTGTTTCACTCAACAGGACTGGAGCAGACTAGTTGAGAAATTTCGTGACTCGGTAATGATTACTTCTGCTGCACGAAAAAAAAAATACATAGATATCGTCAATTAATATTTGCTCAATATTGATTACTTGTCTTTTTATCTCTCTCTTTTTCTCTATCACTCACTCTCCCTCTTTTTTTCCCCTCTCTCTCTCTCTCTCTCTCTCTCTTCCCTAGGAATACGACACCGAGCGCAAACTTTACCGTACGTTGTCCGAAGACTTCATGCCGGAAATACCAAAGTTGTTCGATCTGAAGGAGAAACAGCAAAGGCGCAAACTATTACAACGTAATAGTTCACGAGTGCTTCGAAGCCAGGAACCTACCACACAGATGGACGCAGTCATGGTTAGGTCCAAGATTAAAACTAAAACGACCAAAGGGACTAAAAAGGACGCGCAGAGCTCGAAAGCTGTTTTCACCAAGGAAGATACGTCGCCGCCGGTACCAGCTCCGCCGGTTCAGAAGAAAGGACGGCAAACGAACAATTCCTTAGCCTCGGCCGTTGGTCAGATAGTGATTCACACCAGGGACGAGGTGCAGGATCTGGAGAAGAAGAAGGGTATCGGCAATCATGGCGATGGTAATTACGTGTCCTGCAATTACGGGTACAAGTTTGGCTATTCCTTCGGGATCGAGGAGGAAGAACGTCGGGTCGGAATGCACAAAGTACTCGAAAGCGTTAAGGATCATACAGACGCTTGGCCGTTCATCGATCCTGTCGACGAAGAGTATGCACCAAGGTGCGACTTCTTACATATGCCTTTTTTTAAAATTATGATGCGGGCGTTGATTTATGTTTTAATTATGATGCGAAATCCGTGTAATATTTTCCCGGGCGATCATAATGTTATTCTTGTTATTATCTTTACGATATATTATTGACAGCACGAATGATTTTTACAGGTATTATAGCGTGGTACGAAAGCCTATGGATCTCAGTACTATGGAGGAAAAACTGGAAGGCGGCTCGTATAAGAGTTTAAGTCAGTTTAAACGTGATTTTCGGCTTATCGTTGATAACTGTAGGCAATACAATGGTTCAGATAACGGTTTGTATCACTCTTTTTTTTCTTCTCCTAAGTTTACGTTCATTTTTACCGATGAGTGGCTTTATTTTATCAACACCTTGACAAATATATATACGTTCTATATATTTACAGAATATACGGACATGGCAATTAATCTTAAAGAAGCTTTCGACAAGGCTGTGAATCGTTATTTGGAATCAGAGACGTCCAGCGATGAAGATCCTGCGTCTCCCCGTTCGTTAGCCGGAACGCCAACATCTCCGTCTTACCAATCACGCCTTTTATCTTCCCTGCATCACAACGCGCGCAAACGTTCGAAAAAATCAACCAAAAAGTCCAAGACGTATAAACCCGAAAGTAGAGCGAAGTCCAAGAGTGAAAAAGTGGACGAGGATGAAAAAAGGAACAAAAGTATTAAAGTAGCTAAGAAAAAAAGGGGGAAGAAAAAGGGTAAGAAAGTGAAAGAGGAAGAGTTGGACGAGGATGAGGAGGAGGAACAGGAAGACCAAGAAAGCGAAGATGCGGTATCCGAGACCAGCATCGCAACGTCAAAGAGAAGGAAAAACGTTGACGTAAACAGTTTACTTAAAACCAAAAAGCTATCCTGTAAAGAAGCGGAAGAATTAAAAACGCCTAATAAAAAAGCGAGCAAAGAGCGACATAAACCGAAGAAAGATTCGGAGATTGTGCGATCTGCGAAAGAAACGAAGGAGAACAAAAAACGAAAGGAGGACTTCGAGGAGGATTATGAACCTCTAGTGATCGTGAGGAGTAAAAGCAGGAAAATAGAAAGGAAGGAACTTGAGGAAACTGGAATACTGGCGGACAAAACGAAGAAGAACGCTAAAAAGATCGAGGTGGAGGAAAGCGACGGGATTTTCAAAGAGGATAGAAAGCAATCTTCGCACGTTAAAACGAAAAAGAGCCGTAAGAAGGAGAAGGCAAGCTTAAAGACTGCAGCAAAGGCTGATGAGAAGTCTGACAAGAGTCATACGAAGGAGAAGGAGAAGAAATCAAAACAGAAGAACGAAGAACTGAAGAACGGAGAGTTAAAAAGCCAGGCGGATTCCAAAGATGTAGAATTAGAAAGTGCTTTAGATTCAAAGCATACTCACGCCTCCACAAAACTCCTCGCATTAATCGGTAATAAAGATTTAGAGTCGCTTGATAGTTTAAAGGATAAGATAAGTAATAGGAGACGCGAGTTGATAAACGAGAGGGAGAAGAAAAAGAAAACGGTAAAAAGCGACACTCACGGTGTCTTTTCAAAAAAAGTGCCTTCAAACGGTAGTACTTTTCATGACAATGACAAAGATAGTGCAAAACGGTCAAAGTCAAAGAAAGGTACGAAGGAAGATAAGAACACGGTTAACGACGACACTATTAAGAAGCAGGATTCGGAAATTAATGAAAATAAGAAAGTCGCTCAAGTTAAACATACCAAAGGGCTGGGAGCAGAAGAGAATTCTCTAAGTCAAGCGTTAAATCAAGCAACCGAGAAGACGCTTAATGTAAGTGTATACAAATTTGTAGATTTCCTTAGAATTATGGATATTATATAAACATACACATTTTCATACATATAGAAGAGAAAGTGGTATTATGGCCGCCAATTTTACATTTTGTACGATAATCCTCTGTAACTTTTAATGTTAATGATCAATATTTTTTATTGAAAACTTAACGATTACATTCGTTAAAGTATTGTTCAATCGATTCTAGACTGAAAGTTATGAAGTATTTACTCAGAATATTATTTACAAACATGTGGCGACGCAGTATAGTGGGTTGGAGGGGAATAGAGGTGGTAATGTGGTCCTCCACGAAAATAGATTTAAAAAATTAATTTGCTTTAAAAATACAGTGTTTTGCGACAAATTAAAATATTTATTCAAAATAGACTCTCTTAGAAGGAACAATATATATGAATATAACGGTGGATTTTTGGATGTATTCATTTGTGAAAAGGACAGTTTTTACAAAATAGATAAACTTTTAGACTTAGTTTGAATTATTGACTTGTCAAATAACTTCGACATGAAAACCTCGAAAATGAGGCTGTCTTAAATTTAATGAGTCGACCAAATTAGCAAAATGTCATGCTACTAATGCTGTTTAACTTTGCATAACTCGAAATGTGTACAGCGGAATAAAATGTCAGTTAAAGAACGAAACACTCAAATGTACATATTCGTATGATAATGCGTCCAAATTTAAAAAGAAGGAGAAAATATGTGTAATTAAATGCTAAAATGACCTTGAAAACGTTTCGGAATGCTCGAAAGTAAAAATGCGTTATAACAAATGTCAGCTGTTGTGTATTGGCATATCAGCATCACTGCGTAACAGCAGGCTATCACACAAATGATTCCATGAATAATTGCTAGAATTCGTCACCTGATAGCGGAGATATTAAGGCTGTAATACCTACAAGAGTCATAATACCACCTCCTCTATACTATAACACACATACATACATGTGCATTCATACTTTTTAAGTTTATAAAAATTTTAAAATTTTATTATGCATCAATATCAAGAGAACATCTAAATATCTCTTTTGTTTTCAATAATATGAGAAACGTTTAAAGCACAATTTTTGGATGGTTTCGAAGGATGAGTTTTTTTCTATCGTAGGAATTTTCTTTCATTGAAGAAAAAATTTTGTTACGATTTTTAATTTCTTTCGATTTTTGTTAAGGTCCCCGTATTCAAACTCCCAAGGTATTTAGATGTCTTCCTTATGCTGGGACACCCTGTATATGCACATACAAACATACATTTGCACGTATAAATTGACACACCCGTCTCATACGCATTATACAAGCACACATTTACACGTATAAATTGACACACCTGTTTTATTACACAATTTGCACAAATCTATTTGTAGCGAATCATAATAGTAATTTTTGTTCGTGTTAGCAGGGTCATTCCGTCCTTTTTCGATATTTAACCCCTTGCATTGGATGAACATTTTAAGGCTCTTTGGTATCAGATCAATAAGGGCGAAAGAAAAAGGCCATTTAAGAACCAGAATATGGATCGCCTAGTGCCGATTAAACGAGACAATTACGATAAATGTAACACTTATTACCAAAAACTCACATTAAAAAAAGGTCACATAGTCCGGAAGTTTTGGCCCGTAAATAGTAGAGAACGTCTGAGAGAGACGGTGGTTCCTAACGCAAGCAGTTAACCTTTTGAGTGCGGAGCAGCTTCAGAGCTAAACGGATCGCTGAGAGAAGAGAGAGAGAGAGATACTTTGGCTGGAATATTGTGCGTCCTCAATCGATGACTAACTTGTTGTGAAAAATCGAGACGGCATTGAGCCGCCGCAACAAACGAAGTTTCCATTGCCCCCATTGCTAAATTAAATAAAACAACCTGAATATACACATATATTTATTATCGCTCGTGCGGAGAACGCGAGCCGAAGAGAGATTCCGTAGTTAGGATGGCATATATGCGTCCACGCCGATAGCATTTGTGGGACGTATATATGCACCCAAGCAGCGCTCAAGAGGTTAATAAGTAACAAGAACAGAATAATGGCCGGTATGTGGGTGGCGATGTTACAAACGTCACAGCCACTGCGTTTCTAATCATTCAGATAGAATACGTATCTGCCACGCGCTGGCTATTTCGAACACACACACACACACACGTTTGTGCGTACTAACTAAAATTCAATTGTTACATGCAATACAGGACATCAGCAAATGGCTCGATGACCCGCTGAAACTTTCGGAGTTCTCTTCCGGCAGCGACTCGCCGATGTCTCACACCCCCGTCGAGTCGTCCGGCCGTTCGAAGGTGGAGGCCGCGCGGAAGAGGCCGAGCTCCATCAAGATATTCGGGCCGCACGGGCCGAGCCGGCCGAAGAAGATACAACGGACGATGAATCGTTTGCAGCCCGGCAAGAGCAAGGGGAACTTACTTCTGAAGAAACCGCTCAACACGCCCAACGCCAACACCAACGACGCGGTCTACGCCGGCAGCGACAACGACCAGCCGTGCAAGGACAACGAGGAGGAGCCGAAGCTCAGCTTGGGCACCGTTCTCAAGAACGTCGATTCCATTCAGTTGATCTGCAAGAGCCTGGTGTCGTCGCCCAACCCCAATCTGTCGAACGACGACGAGGAGGAGGACCACCACCACCACGCGCGCACGCCGTCCCGAGCCTCGAGCGTGAAGGAGGAGAAAACGGGCGCCGCCACGGGGACGTCGGCCGTCCCCCCGGACGAGAGGGGGGAGCGGCCCGCGGAGGAGACGCAGAAGCCGAAGTCCGCCACGCCGAATCTGAGCGCCTGGTTCAAGGCCTTCGGAGCGCCCAAGTCGAAGAAGAAGGACGAGGAGGCGGCGGCAGTGGCGGCGGAGGAGGCGGCGGCGAAGAAGGACGGCGACCTGCAGGAGGTGTTCTGCGGCAGGCAACGGCGGATGAGCACCGGCGGCAGCAGCGTCAGCGAGTCCGTGTCGAGTTTCTCGCAGGAATCGCCGCCGGCGTCGCGCGCCGTCCGCTCGCCCCAGAGCCAGCCGCAGGTGGTGGTGGTGGCGGCGGCGAGTAACGAGCCGCCGATGAGGGGCGCCGGTTTCTACCAGGACGCCCTCTCCACCGGTAGCAGCCCGTACAACAGCCCGTTCTACGCGACACCGCCGAGGTACAGCGCGCAGCTGCCGCCTACCCCGTCGCCGCAGAACCACCCTCTTTCCCCGGCTTACCCGTCGTCCGCGACCTACGAGCAGCAGCAGCCGCCCCCTCCGTATCCGCACGCCGCGCAGCCGGCCTATCAGAAGTCCTCGCCGCGTGAGAACGAGACGTACCCGCAGATGTCGCCTACGTTCCCGCAGCGCTCGCCCGGCGGCTTCCCTCCGCAGAACCCGTCGGCGCAGCAGAGCGGCGACTCTTACTCGCAGCAGCAGCCGCCGCCGGCCGGCAACCAGAATCAGTCGCCCGTCTACTCGCAGCAGCCGATACCGCCGGCCGTCTACCCGTCGCCGCAGCAGACCCAGCCGAGCGCGGCGGCGGTCGCGAATTACTCCCAGCCCTCCCCGCAGCCGGTCGCGAATTACTCGCAGTCCTCCCCGCAGCCGGTCGCGAATTACTCGCAGGCCTCCCCGCAGCAGCAGCACTCCCCCTACTCGCAGCCCTCCCCGCAGGCGCCGAGCTACTCGCAGCCGTCGCCGCACTCCCCGCACTACGCGCAGTCCTCCTCGCCGCAGTCCTCCGCCGGCTATTCGCAGCTGTCGCCGCAGCCACCGGCGAGTTACTCGCAGCCGTCGCCTCAGCCGCCCGGCGTCTACCCCCAGCCGTCGCCGCAGCCGCTCAACCCGTACCCGCAGACGTCGCCGCAGCCGCGCAACTACTCCCAGCCGTCGCCGATCCAGAGCTACTCGCAGCACTCGCCGCAGCCGGCTTACTCGCAGTCCTCCTCGCCGCAGTCGCTGACCAATTACTCGCAGCCGTCGCCGCAGCAGCCGAGCACGTACTCGCATCCCCTGCACTCGCCGCAGACTCCGTCGAGCTACTCGCAGCTCTCGCCGCAGCAGACCCCGGCGGCGGCCAACTACTCGCAGTCGTCGTCGCCGCAGCGGAAGTCCAGCTGCCCGGCGGTCGTGCAGACTCCGCAGCAGTCGCCGAGTTACCAGCAACCCTCTCCGCAGCAGCCGCCGCCGTCGAATTACTCGCAGCTGCAGTCCTCGAAGAGCAGCAGCTCGGAGGAGTATTCGACGGGCGCGACGCCGGCGCCGAGCTACCCTCAGGGCTTCAAGCAGCAGAACGCCGCGTACGTTCAGCAGTCGCCGACGAGCGAAGCCGAGCACCGGCCGGAGTACCTCAAGTCGAGCGAGAAGCCCGCGACGACGGGCGAGCAGCAGAGGAACTTCCAGCCGGCGGAGTCGTCGTTGGGTCTGAACGCGAACCACCAGATCTACCAGTCGCCGGCGGGCCAGTACCCGCCCCCCACGTACCCCAACAGCTTCCCCAACATCGAGCTGCAGAGGTCCGCCTCGCGACACGGCTGTCCGGATCAGCAGACGGCGGCGCAGCAGTCGGAGCGAGCGGCCGGCTTCGCCGAGATCGGCGACGGGCTGAACGCGGCCAAGTACGCGCAGCCGCGCGCCTTCCTCGGCAAGACGTCCGGCGGCGAGCAGCTGGTGGCGCAGGACCAGCAGGCGCAGCTGCTGACCTTCCAACAGAACCTGTCGGCCCACGAGTCCCTCTACCAGAGCGGCTTCCAGCCGTCCGGCTACCCGCTGCCGAACTCGAGACCGGTCTACCCTAGTCCTCATTACTTCGACGCCAAGTCCGCCGGCGGCGGCGCCAGCAGTCCGGCGGCGAGCGGCGGCGGCGGCAGCCTTCCGCCCGTGAAGAAGCGCGTGTACAACGAGCCGTCGTCCGGCGACTCCGGCGGCTCGCGTGCTCTGCCGCAGGAGACGACGCGCGCCGCCCAGGAGCAGTTCGGCTTCGAGCCGATGATGGCCCTGCCGGACGGCCAGTTCGACGCGACGTACGTCGGCAGCCTCGCCGACTCGGTGGCCTCCAATCCGTCGGCGTACGCCCGGCTGAGCCTCGGCCTCGTCGGCCGGCCCGGCAAGGAGCAGCAGCAGCTGCTGACTATCCCGCGGCCGCCCGCCGCCAAGCCGGAGCACCTCGGAGCGTACGGGCGCGGCGCCGCGCCCACCGCCGACCTCAATCTGCTGCAGAGCCTGCAGAACGCAGCGGCGAAGAACAGCCAGGGCATACTGGCGACGATGTCGCGCCGGGCCGGCGAGAGCGCCGCCCCCGCCGCGACCTCGTCCAAGCCGAAGAAGAGCAGGAAGAGCAAGCAGGAGCAGCAGAACGCGGCGACCGCCGTGTCGGCGGCTGCGGCCACCGTCACCTCCACCGTCGAGCAGCAGCCCGGGATACCCGCGTTCCCGCAGTACGCCGCCGCGTCCGCCGAGTCCATCGGTCTGAAGAGCGCCGCTGCCGCGGCGGTGGTGCCGGCCGCCGGCAGTGCCTTCAACTTCGCCGCGTCCGCGAGCGCCAGCGGCGCCGCGCCGTTCTACGACAAGGACGCCACCGCCGCCGCGGCGTTCGCCTTCCTCGACGAGTTCCGCAATCCGACCAGCTACTACAACATGGCCCTGCGGCAGCAGCAGCAGCAGCAGCAGCAGCAGCAGCAACAGCAGCAGCAGCAGTCGGTGCCGCCGGTCACGGACGCCTCTCAGTCGGCCTGCAACAAGCTCGCCAACCAGCCGCCCAGGAACTACGCGCCGCACCCGTTTCTCCACTCGGCCGCCGCCGCCCAGAGGTCGGCGGCCTACGGGCCGCCGGTCTCCGCCTACGTGACGCCGCACGGGCCGAACCTCGCCATGGATCCGGCCGCTTACCAACAGTATATACATTCTCTCTACGCCCTTCAGCCGCCGCCGCACCATCACAGACCGTCTTGGCTTTAGCCATACTTGGAGTCGTTGTGAGCTCCTCCCTGTGACAGAGAGAGGGGGAGGCAGGGCCGCCACAGGCCTGGGGAGCCGGGAAACCTCGTGGAGATTTCAGTTGATCGGGGAATACGGGACGAGTTAGGGAAAGACGACGGATGATGAGTCTGGCACTCTTTCAATCTCGCGATTCCTCTTAAATGCTCTTGTTCCAAAGGCTACTTGTCATTTGCTTTTCTTAATATCATGTCTAACGTTTGCAGTCGGATGCGTTCTAAATCATGTCAAAGGCCGTAGCACACGCAGAGACATAAACAGTGAAAGTTTAGGTGGTGAGAAAATTGACGAATCGCGGTAGATTATTCTTCCTACGATCGAAAAATAATCGACTGCGACGGGACACTTCGCTTACTTTTTACGTTTTTCCGTGCGCCCTGTAGACGTAAGCGATAAAAAATAATTCCTCGATCGTATGAACAGTCGAGTGTGATTAGTCAATTTATTTTGTACAGCGTGTTTTTTTTTTTTTCTTTTTATTCAGTTGCCTTTTTCCGTCGTGACGGGAAAAAAATTCTCGTTTTCGATATTCATTTGTTTTTTGTTGACCTGAAATTGCATTCGGTATTATATTGTGTCACTTTTAAATTTGCGTTACCTCTGACAATATAAGTTACCTTTCCCGCAGCCTCTGCTTCTGTAAATGTTAAAATTTAAGATATACGCATCGGTTGTGGAAAATTCTCCGGTAACGTTTGAAGAACATGGGAGAGTCGGGGAATTTCAAGATTCGTTCTCTGTGGCGACCCTGCTCGGTGGGTTTCTCTCACGACTGACCGTGATGCAACGCGGCGGAAGAGGAGGAGAAGGAGGAGGAGGAGGAGGAGCAGTTGGATGGACAGGGGACAGTCCAGCTCACGTAATACCAAATAATCGAAAGTCTCTTCTGGCGGACGCGTACGACGGGAAAAGGAGGAGGAGGAGACGGGAGCATCGTGCTCTTTTTACTTGGACATTTTTCTTTCCTCTCAAAACAGGGACTTCCCTCCTCGCGATCGCTGTCTCTCTTCGTTGTCGTTTTTCACGTCGAATTAGACTTGTGTCCGCGTGGACAGTTCTCTTCCGCGTAGTTAAGGCGACGCGCGTCTGTAGATTTCTTTATCCTCCTCCGCTCGACCCTTCCTTTTTTTACGAAGCGAACGACGACGAACGAACTTTGGCACTTTTACACCGAAGGGAGGAGGGATTTTAGCTTCTCTATCCGAAATGAGAAACGGGAAGGGGAAACGTTATATATGTAGCCATATATGTAAATAAAGCCTACTTTCGATGTAGGAATTTTTGATAGTTTTCTAAAAACGAGAGACTAATAATAGCCGGCAGGTTTTTTGATAGCTCTAAAAAAAGGCGAGATCGCTAGCGCGAATAAAAAAAGAAATCGATCGCACTCTTCTATCAAAAGTTCCTCCGTGTTAGCGAGCGCGCGCGCGCGATATCGTTCTCTTGTCGGTATGTGTGTGTGTGTCGGGACGCAGAAGTATGCAATATTCGAACTCACTCGTTTAATTAGTGGTGGTCCCAAATGGAGCGGTTCGGGTCCATGACTTCGCTGACTTCGTCATCTTAGCCGTCGATTTTATCGTTGATTTTCCGGCCCCCTTGTTCCTTGGATCTTTAGAAATAAATCGTCGACCATTAGAGAGAGAGAGAGAGAGAGAGAGAGAGAGAAATATGTACGTACGCGAGAATTTCCGCAGAGAAACGGGGAGGATTTATGTATAAATATATCGAACGCACTTTGTTGCTGTGGCGGTAATTCCGTGCGATGTTAACGATATTCACTGATAATATCGATTATTAATTTCGAATCGTTGATCGATTATTAAGTTATAATCAAGATATCGTGATCAAACGGCACGTTTGGTATCGACGAGATGTCAGGTACATAAAATTATATTATCATTATTTTAAACGCCAATGCCGCATCGTTATCTTTCACTTCATGTCGACTACAGAAGTATTGTGAAATGTAGATATGCTTTGATACGAGTGAAATTGTTGCCGGTCAACAATGTTCAAACAACCAATTTGTCGGTATGTCCAATTAGCGATCGTTATAATGTATATATATATATATATATATATTATAATGTATATATATATATATATACACACGCACTCGCGATAACTACACAGCTGAATCATATCGAATTAATGTCGTCCAGTGTCGAATTAATAATCAAGATCTCTCGTCGAGTATCGTTAACAGGGTAAGGAATATCGCTACTGGTGTACGTTATGTAGATTACCTAGCGACGTAAGGATAGCACATAAGATTAGGCTTTCTTTGTATATATAAAACACATATCTCGCATAGACGATGTGCTCGATGTAAAGTGAGATACAGGACGTAAGGCCGTGAATGATGAGTTATGACTGGTAAGCGATCGACGGTGAAACATACCGGGTGAAAGCGCTTTGAGGAAGAAAGGCGCATAATAGTAATACATACACACATACATACACACAGATNATATATATATATATATATGTATGTATGTATGTATGTATACAAGTATGCGCGAAACAAAGACGAAATATACTGTAACACGCCGCTATCATCATACATTAACTCATCTTTATTGCTGAGAAGAATCTGATGCATTGACAGGAAGCAGTATATTGAAACTTATAAATATATACATATATATTGTAAATGTATATTGTAAATGTATCGACAGATTAAAACACAGTTTGTTACAAAATCATAAGCGTTTAATTACGAGTATTAAATCCTGCCCCTCATCAGTCGTGTTATTCTATAATCTCTTGATCTTTTTTTTTTGTAAACAGCAATTAGCGATCCCAGGAAGCAAGAAATCATTGGCTGCGTACAGCAGAAAAAATAGAGCTCGGTGTGAGCACTGTACGCTGCCAGTAACTTTGCAACTATTGTAAAATTCATCAAAAATACCAGTACTTGATGCTTCTTTAACGTGTTTACTAAGCGGTGGCCATTTCTTTTCAGCATACTTTTAATGAGCCGGATCGCTTAATAAACATGTTGGAACAACGTAAATTGTGTTCAGCGAAAATTCTTACAACAGTTGCAAAGCTGCGGCAGCGCAGCAAAAAGCGCTTACTAGCTGCTTTTTCTGCTGAGCGCGACCAATAACACAACGTTATTACAATGATTTTTCGTAACATGTAACATTTTCAGATTTGTAGTTCTCAATATTATGTACAACGTCATTGTTAACGATATTTGATTATATATATATAATATATATTATACATATATTATTATATATATATTTGGCTCAAACATCAAAAATAATATTTCTATGATTTTAATATTTAGGAATATTATATTATCAAGTATTATCAGTTTAAGAATATCTATAAAATATTGTGTCGAAATGTTTATAAAATCCACATAAAATCAATATTTCGAGAAATTGATTTAATGCTTTTTATTTATTAGGATTTTTTTACTTTATTGTTCATTCATTAATATACCTGTTCATATATCACATATAATTTTAGAGAGCAAGTTTGCTTACATTGTTATAATTTTCCAGAATTCTTTCCATCCTCACGTCGTCGAATGTTGCATCAACTTGTTAGCTTGCAAAAGAGATCGTTTAAATTGCAAATTTCATCGTAAAAGTAAGATATCGATAAGAAGGTTAATCGGCAGCATCTATTTCTTGAGCACATACTTCAGGCATCACGGAAGAAAAGAATTAGCTCCCACCGGTAAAAATTAACTGTCCATGTGATACAATACCCGGGAAAAAATGATTATATATAATTATATAAAATTATATATGAATTTTGCCCATATATGTCCATACGGAAAAAATGATATGTCATGCTATGTCATTTAATTAAATGTTGATATCATGTGTTGTCGGAAGCACAAGTAGCCAGAAGCATTTGTTTCGATTGTACTTGCATATAATTTGTAAACAACAGTATTTTTTCGTTGTTGATTATATATATGGGCAAATTTCATATATGATCTTCTTTTCCCGGCTAAAGTTTCGATAATTCAATTCAATTATTTCGTCTCTGCATTTAATCCTCAGCGGTAAAAGCTAAAAACCAGGTCTGGTAACTAAGTTTCAGCTCCGGTACGGACAGCTAATTCTTATTTCTTCCCGTGCAATTAAAACTACAAATCGAAAGTGACCTACCTCGTCCAGCTGCACTTTCCATACTTCCATTTCTTCTTCTTTCGTTCAACCAAGCGGACACGCTCCTTCGTCCTCCGTCAACTTGTTCTTATTCCACTTTCTATATCCTAGATATCTCTCCTTTTCTCTCTATACCCGAAACACGGATTCGTTAATTCAAAAGCACCGCGTGGTTTCATTCCTTATACCAGGCGCTTGATTGGTGGACACTTCTTCTGGTGTGCATGTGCTTTAAGCGACTACGAAATACGCGCGCGCGCATCTACGTCGTCCTTGATCGATGATACGTGCCAGACGCAGCGTAGCAGAATGCCGATAATTACACAGATGACAGCGGGTGAGTAATCTGACCCGATAATTGCGAGGAAGATAAAAGAATATGGCGAACACGATGTGTGCGACGCGTGTTTGATAACGAATAACGCGTGAAAAACGCGTGCATGCACGTACGACGCGAATAATTGCGAATAGTTGAAATACGATGCGCGACGAGGTGAGGTTCGAAGCAGTCTCATAGTCGACAACCAGGCTGACCCGTACGAAAATTGCGTAACCGTGATAAACCGAAGAAAAAAAAAGTGAACTATCGGGCGCTACCTCTGCTTTATCTATTCTTGATTCGTGATCTATCTGATGTTATAAAGTGCGTGGCTGGCAGATAGGAGGTCGTTCAAAGTCTCGAATGGTCAATGGCGATCGTCGAAGTTTCGAGAACTGGTTTGATCCTGAAGACGTGAGATGCTGTCTCGGTCACGATAACTATTCGCCGGAGATTGTTCGCCGAGATCAATGCGGAGTATATTAGGAGGGAGAACCGAGGATAAAGAGTGACACCGTGTCCCTAGAAGGGCGGGAAATAAGTTACGAAAAAAGGGAGAAGGATCGGTGAGACGACGGTGTGACTCGTCCGAACAGAGTGCAGGAATTTGCATTGTATGCACATTTGTGACGATATTCCGCACATTATGCTGGCTTTTAGAACGCACGTTTAGTGCGTCGAGTCGATCGCCGTCAATATTTCTCGAAAGCGCATTTCAAATACGTTATGAGTCACCTGTGAGTTTTACCTTCTGCAGAAGTTGCTCGCATGGGGATAAGACTTCTGAGGCTCTGTTTTATAACGTAAGAAACTCGGTTCACAGCCAAATGTGTTCTTTATATTTAAGACGGCTTGAACAATATATATGTGTAGTGTTATTACCAGTGTGATCTTGTTGTTACAGATTAATCCAAGCTATCGTTGGCTGATACATCCGCACCATGTTGCAAAATATAGACAGGGATTTGGTCCCTATGAAAGCGCATTATTTTCTATATAATGCTGGTAAGTTGAAATTTTATGTTATGTGTTTCAATAGCTGTTTCAGAGGTATCTTTTGCAACTTATATTCATCATTATCATCTCTTCGCAGCTACCGGACCAATAGTGCCATTTTTGCCAACAATAGCAAAGCAGTTGGGCTTCTCTGCGACATTAGTTGGCACGATATATTCAGTTTTACCAATTTCCGGCTTAATTTCGAAACCGCTGTTCGGTGGTTTAGCCGACAAGTTCAAGTTACATAAAGTTTTTTTCCTAATATTTCAAGTTGTGTTAACATTAGCTTTCTTCTCAATTTCATATATTCCCAACACAGATAGAAATGCAAATATTACTCTTATCTGTGACAATAACATAGCATTCCTACAGATTTGTCCAGAAAAACAGTTTTCAAAGGAAACTTTAAATAATGTATTAGTGAATGATGTATTAGATAAACACACCAAATCAGTTTGCCAGGTATATGTAAATATTATTATATATTTTATATATAACACTACTCCTTCATGCTTAACACTAAAATTACCAAAACGGTCAAAATGACCTTTTTTTTTTTAAGTTACTACAATTTCTGATGGTGCATTTTCTGACATTTTTTGTCATTTTTGTTGCAATGTGTATATGAATAAATATTTTCTCCTTTGCACTACATATTTGTTGAAAAATCTCATTTAAATCTGCTTTAATAGAAGGGTACATGTTAATCATTGGTAGTTTTAGTGTTAAGTGAATAAATGGATATAACACTCATTTTACAGTTAACCTGTCAAGGACCGTCTCACGGTTACATGGAGGTGTCTGACAGAAATGTTTCTAAGTACGAAAAATTCAAGTTTGACGGAATCTTTGATATGTATCAAGACTTGCCTGTAAGAAGCTCACTGGAATTTCAGTATTCGTCGTAGAAATGATGTTTAGCTATATTGTAAGAAATTCTTTTCTAGTTGAAGGATTGCGTGGAAGTAAAGATACGTACGATTCAGGATGACAGCGTGCACCCTCCGGTATGCGGCAACCGAATGAGAACTTGGTGTACAGTGAATTGCAACCAGATTTTCGTTTCTCTCAACAATCTTCTGAAAGAGGCTAAGAAGTTAAATAGCGACGCCGAAGTTTACACTCATCGATTCTATTTGTTTCTATCGGCGGCTATAGTGAGTTGGGTCGGAATGGCTGTCGTAGTTAGCATAGGTGATGCTATCTGTTTTGATCTCCTTGGTTTGTATTGCACTGTTATGCTAACTAAACAAATAACGTTAATATCGGACCGTTCATTGTTATTACACATTGTTATATATTTTAGGTTACGAAAGAAGAAAAGACTATGGGAAACAGAAGATGTGGGGTAGCATAGGTTTCGGCATTTTTGGCATAAGCGCGGGATATCTGGTCGATGTTTTCAGCAAGGGACAAAACGAGAAGAATTACGACTGCATATTTTACATTATGCTGATAGCGATGATTCTCGATTTTATCGCGTCTGCAACCTTGAGGAAGGTACACGGGATTTTTCAATAGAGATATCGCGCGTTGTAGTTGTGCACATGTATGAAACTGAAATCACAAAATAACACGGAAGTTCGGCTTCTTGCTTATCAAGAGAGTCCGAAATTGGCAGATAATGGAAGAAGGCAGTATTGTTACAGAAAAATTCTGAATGTAACAGAGACGAACCATCGTTGTTATGGGAACTGTTGAACGTCGCCAAGGAGGGGAGAGTGTTGGTGTTCGGCTGGTGGTGCATAGGCGCCGGAATGTGTACGGGAGTTATATGGAACTTTCTGTTCTGGTACACGGAAGACCTAATGACCTCTACGTGGGTTAAAACTTTGCAGGGTTTCTTGACCGGTATTCAGTGCTTCTTAGGGGAATTGCCCTTCAACTTCTTGTCCGGTAGCGTGCTGAAGAAACTCGGCCATGTTAACGTTATGAGCCTCGTGCTGCTCGTCTATGCGATTAGGTGAGCAACGATTTTTTTAATTTTTTTTTTACCTTTCGACCTTTTCATTAGGTGTGCAAATTAATCCGGTGTTTCTTTTTTTTTATGAAATTCAAAGTTTAAGTTTTCATTATAGGACGTTCAAATGCAAAAGCACCGAATTAATTTGCACACCTAATATAATAATAACACGTGACTCATTATTTGTACGGATTCTCGTAAATATGTCGATTCTGTTTCACAGATTCATGGCATACAGTATTATATCGAATCCGTGGCTATTTTTAATTCTCGAACTGCTCCACGGACCTTCCTTCGGCCTATGTTGGCCGACGATGGTGTCTTACGGCGATAAAGTGACACCGTCCGGTACAAAAGCCACTATGCAAGGCTTTGTCGGTGCTATTTTCGAGGGAATCGGTCAGTCGTTAATTTCATTTTCCTCACAGTTGAGAATTGTTCCTTTATTTTTTTAATGCTTGTCAGTATAAACTCTTTGCTTGTTTATTCTAGGAGTGTCGAGTGGTAGCTTCATATGTGGTTGGTTGATCGATACTTACGGAGGTGCTACCGCATTCCGAGTCTTCTCAGTGGGCGCACTTTTGTGGTTGAGTGCGTTTTGGACGATGGAGCTTATACTGAGAAAGTTCAAGGCCAATCCCGTACATCAAGGCCATAATCGTGAGTAAACGATTATGTGGATAAACATTTGACAATGTAAAAAATTACTTTTATTTTATTTTATTATTATTGGCAATATTCTAGTTCACTTCGTCGTTGATAAACAAAATACTAAATTCTCGTATACACGCGTGAATACGAAAGGTCGCATTTTTATATCTGGCGACAGGTATTTGACGATTCTGTAGCCGGTTTTCTCTTGGTATAAATATTATCAAACAATCGACAGTCCGTATCATTATTGCTTCTGTTTTTCAGATTTAGCAAATTATGCTAATCCAGATGATGCTATTCTCATGACGATAAGTCAGGAATTGCAAACCTACTAACAGAGAAACGATAATTTATAATTATATACTTGTCAGTGTTTACATGGGTGATAATATTGTCGCAATTGAGACTCAACGGAATTAATCTTTTTATAGGATATTTATATGTTAAGGAGAAGTTTTTATATCGTCATCATTACTACGTCTAATCTTTCGATGTTGAATGTTCAAGTAAATTTCACTCATTCAGTATTATATCATAAATGTAAATTATATCGCATGTATGTGTGTGTTTTTGTATGTTCCCATCGTAATATAAATTTTTTTAGATTACAGTGTTCCTTATTTATTTACCTTCGTATCTCAACGCACAGATGATATGTATGCACGAATAAGGGAAATTTTACAGCGGAATTTCACAAGAAATATACAGGATAAATCATTAAAAGTGTTACGGGCTAATTTCTGAAATTAAACGTGATATGAAATTCTTACTTTCCAAGCAAAGTCGTTAAGGTTATTTCAAAGTCAACTTGGTTTTTTTTTTAACACAAACCGATTCCTCTGTTTATCCTGTATATAAAATTATTAGAATAAGATCATCGAAAAGTGAATATATTTCGAGACATTTTATTTCTTATTCTATTTTTCAGTATATGAAATATAATTCACTTTTCACCTTAATACATTTCTACATAATAATATGAGAGTAATCGATCACTGATATATTAATCATTGCTCATTCACTGGTATATCGATACATTTGCAAAATATAATATTTTTTAAAGATCCTCTGTGTATAGCGTACGATTCCACCTGCCATTCTACGTACAAAAGTGTGAAGGCGATCAAAAGGTGAACTTGGAATGACCTTAACGACTTCGCTTAGAAAAAATTCACTTCAACACACAATGCTTGCTTCGGTACCAAACAGTCATTGGAAAGTAAGAATTTTCTATCTCGTTCAATCTGAGAAATATTAGCCTGTAACACGTTTAGTGATTCATCCTGTATATAAATTACCGCAGTAAATGAATGTACATACATATATATATAAAACCAAACAGAAATCAGTTAATATGAAATTATAAAATTAACAGTACATTATGCGGCAAAACGCAGATATAACGGACATACAGGAAACAGCCGATAATGTTAACGCCGTTTGATCATCATCAGGACTTCCAAGTTGAGAGCAACGAACATCTCATAGAGTCTCCAACGGTATCTCGCTGGTGAGAACTTGGCGAGAACTACGGGGGAAAAGTGGGAATCGGTGGGATGACATCGGGTCGAGCGCAGCAGATCGAATCAATCGAGAGAATTGCTCACAAAATATCTCAACCATTTATTCATTGTGAACTCCATTTCCAAAGAACGGAGATATATATATACCATACTAACAAACACGTTGATTAGCATGCCTGCTCGATCGCAATCAGTCGACAGCAACTTTCTTACGGATCTCGTCTATTCTATCAATAAAAAGCTACAAATAACTTTCTTCTCGCTTTCACATACCGCAAAACACTAAAAGTAACAGTCGTGTTCGCGCGTGAGGGAGGGGGCTCGCGCGCACGCAAACCTTTCCGTAACTGTACTGTTAGTCTTGCTTCGGCGTCTGTCGTTGAGTGGAACGTGACGGTGAGGCGACCTGGCTCGGTACAGGCTCTATCATGGCTTGCAGATTTGATATCTCGCCCGCCGCGTCGCAGCAGTCGTTCATGATGATCCCGACGCCCGAGTGCATGAACGCGAGACTGCCCTCGCTCGACGAGGCCAGGCTGGTGGAGAGAGGCGGCGAACGTTCTTTCGGCGACGCCGAGGAAGCGGGATTGGCCATGGGCGAGCACGTGTTGGAGGAAGTCGCGGCCTCCAGCCTACCGTGGAGCTCAAGTATACGGCCCTCCAGAAGCAGATTGATGTCCACCTGGGCCCTGTACTTGGACTCGACGGCTTCCACCTCGGACGCGTGTTGCTCCTTCGTCTCCCGCAAGAGCCGCTGCAGATCTACGAGCTGTGTCTCCTTACGCGCCTCCTTATTTTCCAACTCTCCCAGACGCACCTTCAGCGCCTCCACGTGAGACGTTCGCGACTCCAATTGCCGGCGGATACCTGCGGAAAGATTGTTTTTTTTTTTTTCAGACAGAGCGGCCACACTTGTATAACGCGCACGAAACGCACGTGACATTGAGATTTTAGGTACGCGAGAACGCGCTTACCGTTCAATTCCTCCGTGTACGCTTTCTGAATCTGCGTCATTTCTTGTTTAATCGTCGGTGAGAAACTGTCTGTGGTTTCTTTCAGCTTTAATTGCGCCTGCGAGACAGATGTGTATGTATACATCATTTTTCGTAATATGTTGATTTCTCTGACGGACAATTCAGCTTGAATTTCCGAAAAAATTTCCGAATCACCCAACCAAGCTTTCCGCGCGGATTCTTTCAACATTTAGAACAGTTACCTCTCCTAGAAGAAGGAATCTCTTCTGTACAATATCCAGAACACGTTCCTGTTCTTTGCCACGATCCGCAGCTTTCAACGCTGCCTTGAGTTGGTGTCCCGCGGTGAAAAGTTCTGCTTCCGTAGAACGAAGCTGTTGTTGTGTTTCGGCTGCCTTTTTTTGTTCGCTCTTCAATTCCAGCTCGAGGCACTCTAATCGATCTCTGAGTACGTGATTCTGTCGTTGTTCTTCAACACACTGTACGCACGGAAGGCACGATTAGTATCGTATTAGGTGTACAAATTAATTCGGTGCCTTCGCATTTAACCGTCCTGTAACTCTGTGGTTCAAATTTAAATTTTTTTCCCATCTCATATGGTGATTTGAAAGTGCCAACTTTAAGCTTTAAGAAGCACTATAATAGTTGACGACCTTGCCGATATAATATCGGAAAACAGTATTTTAATAAAGTCATAGAAAATAATGGAAATGAATTCGTACATCAAACTTATACTTGAATGTTTGTAAATAAACATTGAATTTCCACGAAAAAAAGGCACCGAATTAATTCCTACACCTAATATCTTGATCCAAAGTCAAGATTCTCTCGTGATAAATATGAGAAATTTTCCAAAATCATACCTTAGTCTGCCAATGATGCGTGGCTTCTTTGTATTGTTCCTCAGCCTGATGTGCTTCCTTCTTATTGCGCTCCAATTGCGCCTTCAATTCTTCCATTTCTCTCTCTACCATTTTCAGACGATCAGTCTGTAACGCCAAGAACGTCGAGTTTCATCAAAACAGACACGTAAGAACTTGGGGGGGGAAAAACATTACACGAGAAAAATATAAACGGACCAAAGCAAGATTATGTTCTTCTGAAGCTCGCGAATCTCTTAATTTACCGAGAAGTCGCCGATTACGCTCGGCATGAACTTCTCGCCGTTGCCGCTCAAACTGTAGCTGCATTTGCATAAGCTGAAGCAACTGATTAGCGCAAGTTGGATCTATACCATCATCTTCTCCTCCGTCCTCGTCTGTGTCCTCCTCCCCTTTCTTCCTTTGCCTTTGCTTAGTACCGCTTGTTCCTGCAAAAAGCTTATATCTCACTTTGCTTACCAGTGTGCTTATTCTGTAACCTTTGACGACAACAATAAGTGCCTTTCAACAAGAGACACAGTGTCGACACAAATGCCTTCCTACAAATAGAACACAAGTCGACCAGCTGTGGTCGAACATTTGTGTCAGCATCATTGCTGCTAACTTTCTAGTAATTGTTATATAATTTTTATACTTGTAGCATTCAATATATATCGAAGAATTGTCTTCTCTCTTGTGACGATTTTCGTCATCTTGGCAATTTTTCTATACATATTCATATAATAAAATATAAGTTTAGAATGTGTACATCAACATTGTGCGATAACAAAATAATAATTAATATTTTACAACATTCATCACTTTGCCAAACAGAAAATAATTTTAGTTGACAGTAATATAAATAAAAGTTGTAATTAACGGTAAAACTATTAGCTTCTTTTTTTTTAAGTAGATTTAAATCGCCCCAGGAATAATCAATGATATTTTAAATTTTGTAATTGGCTAGCAGTGGCTAGTGGCGTTATTAATCGCTTCTGGAGCGGTCAAAATCTACTTCATCCGAAAGCATTACATGTGACATTCGCTAACACCTAACGTGTGTGTGCATTACCGTCAATCAGCGGCTATTTCGAAAATTAAGGTGTTCCATTAAGCACCCAATATCGCTATCATTAAGCGTCATTGCGTAGCGACGCGTAACAACAACGTTAAAGAATTACAGAATAAGAGCACGATAATACTTGTTTATCACATATTACACGCATTATAATTCGTACTTACTTGTTTTGCCGTTGTTGCTATAGAAATTATTGACTCTCGTGCAAGCCTCGATATATCGATCCAGCATGCTAACCGGCGACAGTCTTGAGTCAGAACTTTCCTGGATAGAACTCTGACCGCTCTGATCCAATAATCCCATAAACAGGCCCTCGTATGGAAACAGATCTCCCGTCTGGGTGCCCGTATCTATTAATTTGATTTGATTCGCTACGTCTTCGCTACTTAATTTTCTCTGCGCCGTTATGTCGGAACAAGACCTGGTCTGCCGAATCTGCAAAAGGAGCGTACGTTTTTTTCCCCCCTTGTTACAATCGCATCTCGACCGCTGTCGTGCGAGATACTATACACGCCGTAATCCACCCAGGCAGAACAAATGTCTGAAAAATGTCTTAAAGACCTCTGAAAGACGTTCTACCTCTTTTTCAGATATTTATCGGATGTTTGTAAAGAGAAATCATCTTTCAAAAATTTGTTCCACCTCGGCACTTTCTGATACTTCACCTTGTGCGTTGCATTCAAATTTGACTGCTGCCTCGGAAAGTAGCACTGAGAGTAAAATCGAAATTGATAGACCTTCTGCGATAAGTCCGCCAAAGCACCATACGCGTTCTTCTCGTTTCGCGCCTCGGACAGTGGTTCTACGAATTTTGGCATTTCAACTGCTCCGCTACCATGCGAACTGACGATTTCCAATACCTGCGTTATACGAAGTATCACGCATACATGTATAATTTTTCATAATAATAATCAAATCTAATAATAATCCTAATAATAATAATCAACTAAATAAACGATTTCTAAATGTTCATTCAACGCAAAATCTGTGTCAATAAATTGCTCGGACCTCTTGATCCTCCTGCCAAGAATCATTTTTCCCATTCTGACTTATGTCCATCTCCAAAAGCCTCACATCCTCTTCGTTGTTAATCAACGATCTCTGCGGCTGACGAAGGACACTTTGTCTATCCGTCATGATTTTACTCAGCCTTTGCGAAAGAAGTGTGTTCATTGCAATATCCCCGCTTCTAGTCGCAGAGCCGGAAATCGGCACAGAAGAGTTTATAGGAGTGGGTGTCGATGGCCGAGAAGATGCGCCCGCTGTACCATTGCCCAATGCATTTAAAGCACGCACCGCGCTAGATCCTTGCAAGGGGAGTTGCCTCGTTGATACTTTTCGTAAATCCTATACGGAACAGAACATTTTAAAAACGTAAAAAAGATTTCTCACTCCTTGTATCGGATTATTAGATGTGCAAATTAATTCGGTGGCCTTGCATTTAATGTCCTGTACTATTCAAAACTATTCAACGCTATTCAAAACAGTTGACCGAAAAAGTCCGAAAAAGCATCGATGACTTTACTGAAACAAAACCGCTGAGTTTTTTTCCGCGAGGGCATTCATCAGCTGTCCGATAGATGGAGTAAAGTCATCGAAAATAATAGAAATGATGATCGAACATTAAACTTGTGCTTGACTTTTTATACATAAACTTTGAATTTCATGAAAAATGGCACCGAATTAATTTGCGCATCTAATAATACCCGATAATTAAAATCCAACGTAGAATAATGGACGCGGGAAAATTCCGGCAAATCTGTGTCATCTGTTTTATGCCCTCGATGAGACATCGGCTTTGTATACCTTGACGGGAGTCGTCTCAGGAGTAGCTTCAATAGCAGCCTCAGGCGGGGAGGTGCCGCTCCTATTGTTATTAGGCGTTGGCGGGGCGGATCGCGGCTCGTGCGATGCATTTGGAAATGGTGTACTGTGCGACGGCACCGCCATGCTCGGTGACCAGAATGTATCGTCCTCCTCGTTGCTAATCTCCGTAGTCGTTACTCCTCCGCAAATGTTTATCGGTGTGCAGGTGAAAGACTGATCTGTCGGTGTGTATAAATAAAATGTCACTTCTCACTACATTCCCGAGGGAAAGGTAGAAACGAAGTTCTTCGCATTCGTGTCTCACACATTTAACGCTTGATACGTGTCTGACATAGAGTTTGATTTCTTTTATATTAAAATCATTCGCAACGTTCGAGCCAAAAGTCAAGCAGTCACATGTTATGCTGAATATAGGATATAAGTAACGGGCGACAACACGATATAATGATGGTCTAACCTGGAGGTGGAGTACATCGAGAATTAACTACGCCTAATATCTCCTCTCGACACCTATCTAATGTGAAACGACCACACTCCGCCATGATATCGTGATGTTCCATCTTCTTCCACCTATTGCGCAACAGAAGAGGGCAACGTACGTATATGATTTAAGCGACACACACACGCTGCGAGACAAGAAGTATATTATTTCACACACATATTACGAGTGTATGTACCTATTGGCGGAGATTTCCGAATCTTTAGACGCGGTAACGAGCAACGGGTGCATACGCACGGAATCCAGCATAGCTCTGATAGTGTGACTGAACGTAGCCGACTGATCGCGCTGAACGTACTGTTGCTTCAGGTATGATATAAAATTGCATGGATACATTGCGTACAGTCTATGAAATAAACTGTACAATCCTACCTATAATGCGGCAGTATAATTGGTTTTGTTAGCTGCTACATATGGCATATTTGAAAGTGTATCAAAAAAAAACATTCACCTGCAAATGTATGAGGTACAAATGCTCCTTATCGATGACGTTTGGTACTGTAGTCGAAGTAAAAAGAGTAGAAGAGGAAAGTAAGGACGATTGATGATGATAATAAGAGGCCAATCGGCCGAATACCTCGAATATCTCTGGCAGAAATGGCCCTAGTGCGGCAGGTAACATTGGTAACAACATTACTAACAGAAGAAGGGCGCTCAAAAGCGGTAATATATCTGTCTCCACCTTGAAAAATACAGTTTTGTGAAAATATCTTACCGAGAAAAAAAACAAAACTAATACCTTCCGATATTTAAAATTAGCCTCAAATTAAGTATCAAATAATTTAGAACGCACGAAATTCCTAATTCGCATTAAATATTATACAACTGATAATCGTGTTGTTTATTGATGTGTGAAACATTTATACGTGTAAAACATAAATGATCGAGTTATACATACAAACAATATATATATATATATATACACAACAATAATTTATAGCTTAATAATAACGCTGAAAATACTAATGTCAGCAAATTGGAAATTAATAAATTAACGAGAAAACTTGTGCACAGAGCACATGAATTATATGTACTAATATTCAGAAACACATTTATGAGTAGATACTGTACAAACGTTACCTTAAGCAATTTGAGTAGATCTCTGAATAAAGCATGATTGGCTAGCTTGTACAACCAAGTGGGTTGACGTCGAGCTATATGGCCAAGCAGTGTAAGTGCCTGTACTCTCTGTCCACAATTGCCAGTTTTAGAAAGAACATCTGATAAACGATCCAATAGATGTTTGTCATGCGGATCGCGAACTCCTGCCAATACTTCAGCAGTCCTCAGGGAGTTAGTGGACAGGTAATAATCAAATAATCCATTTACTAGCCAGTTATCCTTTGCTGTAGACGACCCAACACGCAGTTAGAAGCAACTCGTTAACATCTAACAAGATAAAGTATGCGCGATACTCACTGGATAAGAAATGATCGTGGAATACTTTCTTGATCTCCTCGACCTCTCCGAGTTTATTGGATTCGAGTAGATGGAACAGCTCGGCGACGCCTGTGGTGCCGGCGCTCATTTTGACGGTGAATGATGGCTCGGTTAAATGATGCTATTCTATCATGATCGTTTGATCAGGCGGTGGAAGTGGAAATTGGTTTAATGAAGTAGCTTTGAGCCATCTGTTGTCTGTCATACCAGGCAGGCATCGTACGGAACGATGCTAAAATACCTGAAAAGGAAAAAAGAGGATCTTTCAGGAAAGAAAACAAACTCATTGAGAGAACTAAATAGGTGAGTGAGTGAGTGAGTTAGTGAGTGAGTGAGTGAGTGAGTGAGTGGATGAGTGAATGAATGAATGAATGAATGAGTGAGTGAGTGAGTGAGTGAGTGAGTGAGTGAGTGAGTGAGTGAGTGAGTGAATGAGTGAGCGAGTGAGTGAGTAAGAGAGAGAGAGAGAGAGATAACCCCCGGTTGTGTGTGTGTGTGTGTGTGTGTGTGTGTGCTTCGCGAGTGATCCGAGAAACGAGCGAGCAAGCTCAAATTCGCCATTTCGTGCGAGAGAGTCGCTCTAAAAGCTCAGGACTTTGCAATTATCTCTAAATATCGTCGAATATACAAACTGTCAGCGTATATTCTATTTTTCGATGCGCGAAAAGAAGTGTCGGTGTCTCGCCACCGCGACGGTGTGTGTATCCGTGGAAATGCGAGTCCCGGTAATGATCGTTTGAACAATAACTCTCACGAGACGCTACAGCTACCGCGTGTCCGCAACCCAGAGCACCAAGTTGAGTTTCTCGCGAGTGTCGAGATGGAATAACGAAATAACTCACCCGAAGTTCATCGAGTATTTCGAGCAGATTTCCGAGCTCTATGGCGACTGGCCACCCCGGGTGGGGGTAACTTCAATATATCTCCCGGAGATCTGTTTTGTGTTGCCATCTGACTGCAGCGTGAGAAAGATGAATGACCGAGACTCGTAACTCTCATGCTAAACTTCGGCTTTATCCGTTGGGAACGAAATGGCTTGAATCAGTTCTTACTAATTAATTTTATTCATTTTTTGTATTTGAAATGTAAAAATCATAAAACCCGTATCAGACTACGGATTAGGGTTGAGATTGAATTAAAATTCGACCAATCAGAGCAAGATTCACTAAATTTGAGTTTAGTGAACTTTGCTCTGATTGGTTAAATTTCAATCCAAATCCGTAGTTTGATATGAGCAGAACGGCATATCGATTAAATCTGTTCGTGTGAATGTAAATCCCGCGCTTTAAGCTCTAAGTCTTGAGAAATTGTCCAATCGCAGTCGAAAAGGAGGAGAATAATCGATTGTGATTGGTCAATTTTTTAAGTTCTCATATTTCTTAAATTCTCATTGTAGACCACGCTTAAGATACAGGTGTTGCAGAATCGGTTTTAGGTTACCATGTAAACCGCAATCATCATTAAGATAATATGCAGCCAATGAGACGGCTTAATGTTGTGTTCTCTGGCAGGCACTCTATTGTCTTTTTTGTACATACTTCGTTTTCAACGCAGTTCCAGCGCAGCGAGAAAGAACAAACCTAAAGTATGACAGGTTAACCGTGCATGATGTGCGGGCTATTCTGCCGTTGTAATCTGCAAATTTAAATCATGCAGAATTTTACCAAGTGTCCGAAGCGGCACTATGTAGCGCCCAGTAAAATATTTAATTTTTCAGCCAAAAACGTATATCCCCATCCCAAGGAAAGAATCCTGTTTGATATTAAACATTTGAGTTGCATGCGTAATCATGGATCCGATAGGTTATTACTCCCTGCGTATTATCATGTAAGTATTCGTTGTTTATTTTGGCTGGTATTTATATTTTGCGTTTGTCAACGGATTTAGCTAGTTGAGCTTTAATTCAATAATATCAAATACAATTTTTATATTCATCAGTTTAACGATATACATATAGAGGATGCAAACGTAGATTATTTGACAAGAAGATGGTGTCACACCGTAACACCGTATTCTTCTCCAGGCTTACAAAAAAATACGCAAGGAAATTCACGCTATACAGTCTGCATGGTTGCGCGGCAACACAAGTACATTCAACTTCTCCCCAAGGTTTGATAGCGTGAGATATTTTAATACAACATGCAGCAACTTTAACAAACAATCGCCGAAGCAATCTGGCTCCGAGAATCCAGACAAGGGACCTAACAAAAATGAAGAGGTGAAAGTACTTGTTCGCAAGCTCTCTATGTTGTTCATGTTATTGTACGTTTTCCTGATCGCGTTGAAACAACAGATAGACACATCGAACTTAGAAGTGAGTTTCCATTTCCCGCTATTGATTACAGAAACTATCGAAAGCATATTGTATTAATAATTAACGTTTAAATAGCCTATGACATCCATTTCCTGGAATGAATTCGTATATCATATGTTGAGCAAAGGGGAAGTTGAAGCCATTCTTGTGAATCCTGCTATCGATCATGTCGTAGTTTTGGTTCACAGGGATGCTATTATTAAGGGGACAAGATCCCCACACAGTAGATATTACATGTCTGTTCCAAACATTGAGCAATTTGAAGAAAAGCTGAGAAGGGTGGAGAAAGATCTTGGCATAAAATCTGGTAAGTAAACTTACATATGCGAGATATTGACGAAAACTATACGTGGAATTACATAACTTTTGTATACCTTAAATTCGTCCGAAATATTTCAAGGCCAGGGAGTGCAAGTTGTGTACGAGAGAAGAATGGAGAAGATGACGAGCATCATAAAATTTATGTTTATCGCGACGCTAGTTATCGCCATCTTCGCTTTGTTTTCGTCACGTTTCTCTATCAATCCCTTCGAGTTCATCTCGCAGATGAAGCAGGCGAAATTCACGTTAGTCGAACCTTTCGCGGGGCAAGGCAAAGGTGTGCACTTCGCGGATGTGGCTGGCCTGAAGGAAGCTAAGACAGAAGTGATGGAGTTTGTTGATTATCTCAAGCATCCGGAGCGTTACAAAGTGCTCGGTGCTAAGGTACCGCAAGGTGAGACCAAATATGTATATGGGAAGAATTATTAGACGCGCAAATTAATTCGGTGCCATTTCCCATGAAATTCAAAGTTTACTTGCAAAAAGTCAAGTACAAGTTTAATGTACGAAATAATTTCCATTATTTTCTATGACTTTGATCCATCTGTCGGGCAGCTGATAAATACCCCCGCGGAAAAAAAACTCGGCGGTTTTGACTCAGTAAAATCGAAGCGACCAAAATAAGTGGTAACCCTACTGGGCCAGATCTGACAAATGAGCTGCATGAAGGAGAATTTCCCAGCCCAATGTGTAGATGAGATCCTTCGTCCCTTTTGCAGTATGCGACCGCGCGTTGTGGTGCAGCAGAATCATCTGCCTAGTTCCATTGCCGATAAAAAGGTCTTTCTACAAGTTTTACGGGTCACAGCACACTTTCACCCAAAGCGGAACAAATCATTTCGGCAGACTGAGCAGCATTTTTATTCAATTGGAGTGCAAAAAGGATGCAGTGCCGCGGGTGGTTCTTTTCGAACAACATCGTGATAACTAATGTTTTCTGAAGTTGCATTACGGCAAGGTCGTCAACTATTATAACACTTCTTAAAGCTTAAGATTGACATTTTCAAATCACCATGGGATGGGAAAAATATTTTAATTTGAACCACAGAGTTACAGGACACTAAATACAAAGGCACCGAATTAATTTGTACATCTAATATGTAATAATAATAATAAAGTAATATTCGCAAGTTTATTTTGTATAATATATGTGTACAAAGTTTTTTATTATTAATTCTATTTTTCAGGCGCCCTGCTTCTAGGACCTCCTGGTTGCGGCAAAACCTTATTGGCTAAAGCTGTGGCGACTGAAGCGAGCGTTCCATTCTTATCTATGAACGGTTCCGAGTTTATCGAAGTGTTTGGCGGTTTAGGAGCTGCCCGAGTCAGAGATTTGTTTAAAGAAGCCAAAAAGAGGTTCGATTGTCGTGCCATTTTTTTTTTAATAATTATAATAATAACACATTTATTTTCTGATCTTCTGTCTCTCACATAGAGCCCCAAGTATCATATACATCGATGAAATTGACGCAATTGGCAAGAAACGTTCAGACAGTTCATTAGGATTTACTAACAGCGAGTCCGAACGAACCCTGAATCAACTTTTGGTAGAAATGGATGGAATGATCGCGAAGGAAGATGTTATCATATTGGCCTCGACGAACAGGGCGGAGGTGTTGGACAAAGCATTACTGAGACCTGGCAGATTCGACAGGCACATCTTGATCGATCTTCCGACGTTAGACGAGAGACAACAGATCTTCGAGACTCACCTCAAGAGAATATCTTTGCAGAACGAACCATCGAAATATTCGGAATACTTGGCTTATCTCACACCTGGCTTCAGCGGTACTATATCTCAAATATACTTGCAAAGTGGACAGCATGTATTTATACGTTCTTCTTTCAGTCGTCACATAAAAAGTCAACTTTTTCCAGGTGCCGACATAGCGAATGTCTGCAACGAAGCCGCGCTACACGCTGCGAGGGACAAGAAGAAACAAGTCGACAGCGGCGATCTCATGTATGCCATCGATCGAACGATCGGCGGCTTGACGAAGAGAAATAATCCGCTGACACCGTCCACGAAACGTGTTGTCGCCTACCACGAAGCCGGTCACGCTTTAGTGGGCTGGTTACTGGAACACACCGATGCTTTGCTCAAAGTAACGATAGTGCCGCGGACCAACTTGAGCTTAGGGTTCGCCCAATACACCGAATCCGATCAGAAGCTCCACAGCAAAGAGGAACTGTTCGAGCGAATGTGCATGATGCTGGGCGGCCGGGCGGCGGAGCACATAAAGTTCGATAAGATTTCGACCGGCGCGGAGAACGACTTGAAGAAAGTAACGAAGACTGCGTACATGCAGGTCCAACAATTTGGAATGAACCCGATTATAGGTTTAGTTTCTTTCCACGAAAATTATACTGACACGGTATGACATTTATATATTTACAAGTGTGCAAATTAATTCGGTGCCTTCCTTTCATGAAATTCAAAGTTTATTCACAAAAAGACAAGTGTAAGTTTAATATTTGAAAGAATCTCCGTTATTTTCGATGGCTTTACTCCATCTATCGGGTAGCTGATGAATGCTTTCACGGAAGAAACTTGGCGGTTTCGGATAACTCGATAAAGTCATCGATGCTTTTTCGGACCTCGTCAACTGCTTTAAGCGAGCGAAATAGGTAGTAATACGACGAGGCTAAATCTGGCGAAAAGCCGCACGAGAGAGAATTCCCCAGCCTGATGTATAGATAAGATCCTTCGTCCCTTTTGCGGCTGTCGAGCGTTATCGTGCAGCAGAATCACCTGCCCAGTTCTATTGCCGGTAAAAGGTTTTTTTGCAAGTTTTATGAGTCACAGACATCTTCACCGAAAACGGAACAAATCATTTCGGTAGACTGAACAGCATTTTTATTCAATTGGAGTGCAAAAAGGATGCAGCGCCTCATGTTTCTTTTCGAACAACATCGTGGCTACTACTGTTTTCTGAGATTGTATCGGCAAAGCTGTCAACTATTGTAGTGCTTCTTAAAGCTTAAGACTGACACTTTCAAAGCATCATAGGACAGGAAAAAAAAATGTAAATTTGAGTTACAGAACATTAAATGCAAAGGCACCGAATTAATTTGTACACCTAACAATTTTGAAGACTCGAAAAAAAAGCGTTGTCATTTTTTCGCGGCTTTTTCCATTTCTTTTCGCTTACAAATTGGAAAAAATCAGTTTTTTTTTTTATATGATATGGTGGTGCATGATATCGTGAGACTTTTGCAAGTTATTTGCAGAGTCGAGAGTCTCGTATAATTCGAATTTCTCTTGTAGAAAGACAAGAAACCATACAGTAAGAAGTTAGCCAATTTAATGGATACTGAGGTGAGAAAAATGATCGCGGAAGCGTACGAGCGAACTCGGAAATTACTTTTGGACAATAAAGACAAATTGGATGTGGTATGTACATGTATTCCCTCTCTTACTACAAAATGTATCTACAAAATTATAGATTTTGTACATGGTTTCTTTTTTATGTACATTAAATATGTCTGTTGCGAATAGCTTGCGCAAGCTCTGCTGGAAAAGGAAACGTTGACGTACGATGATGTGGAAAAATTAATTGGGCCGCCACCGTACGGAAAGAAGCGACTTGTGGAGCCGGCAGAGTTTGAAAAATCTGGTCCAGTTAGGGAATCCCCGTCGGTGGACAGAGTAACAGCATAGTGAAAAATGTTTCAAATATTGTTTTGTAGATATTTGTACTATAATATCAAGATCAGTATGATAAACGTATAAAAAAAAACTTTTTTGATAAATTATTTGAAAAAGTTTGCAAATTGTGTTGCTATAATGCGTATACACACATATTCTATCCATCATGTATAAACGTACGCTGGTCATTATGTATGTTTTACAACTAAATTTGATTAACAGGAATAAATGAAATCATACGAATGGAAGAATAATAATTTTATTTTAATAATCTGTTAGAAATAAAGTTTAGTAACTACATATAACTGATGGAAAATATATGAAATACAGAATTAAGAAAAAAACACGTTTAAGCCTAGAATGTCTCACCGACATTAATATCTTCCTTTTTTTGTTCATTTTATAAATATCTTTTTCAATGAAAAATAGATACGTGTATCTTTTTTTCTATGTAAATATATGTTTATATTTATATATAATATATGTCAAATAGTGATAAGTGAAATATATATACTTTGTGAAAAATTAAAGTAACATCATCTTGTACTCTAAGGGGTATCTACCCTTTCGTTGAAAAGTTACGACAGTTGCAAATAGTTGTTCTAGTTGTAGAATACATACGAGCAGCAAAATAGATACACTCGGTACAATTGGCTTACATTCGCTTTTATATGGAAGATATTGTACATGCCCTCAATCATGCAATTATGTAGTAGAAATCTCATCTTATGGTCCTCATCATTATTCAATCTATATCTCAGATCTCCCATTATGTATATATTTAATTAAAAACGAAACAGAGAAGAAACAAGGAAATAGAAATTTAAATTCTAATCAATGTTTTAGATTATTTAACAATCTATGTTAATATAAAATGATTCAATAGTAGTAATTGTTAACTTAGCAATTATGTTAAAAATCCATGACATTTCTATGATATGAGGTAACAAATACGATAAACAATTTAATTGGATTAACCTTATTCAAAAATTATATATATATGTGTGTGTGTGTGTGTGTGTGTTAAAACAAAAGGAAGATTATAAAATACAATATTGTCGTATCAGATTTTAGAAATGCAAAAAGGAATGGTAACTATGTATCGATACGAATATATATTATCTCTATGCCGCAAATATTAACGCGACTAGACGTCTTTAGTAAGCCTGACAATATTGTATATTTATCATTGGCGTTGATCCTAGGAACAATTATCATGCCCTCGAAGCTTTATTTAAACTAGGGACGATTTTGATTCTTGTGCTTTTTCCAATCCTTTGAGCATACCTGTTTTCGAGTCTTCTATCACATGTAATATACTTACTCTACAATTAAATCTTTAATAACACCATTGAGTGTCCGCTCCAAATGCGAGCCGTCCCAATATACCTTTCCGCAATACTCGCATGCATAAAAGACTTGCATAATCTTTAATATCTTGAAAGGGACCTTATCAATTTGTATTCGCGTCTGATGCTTAGTCATACACATCATAATGTCGATGCTATCGAGATTCGTGGTTAAACGCCAATTACGATGCTCACTATTTGTCAAGTAACTTATCGGGTTACTAGTTTCCAATTCGATGTCGTCGCTTGAAGCGTCGTCATCGTTGCTTCTCGATGTATCGTCGAATTGACAGTTCCTTTGTTCGAAAGGGACCACGCGATAATGGTTCCTTTTCATACTTTTTATAAAGCTGAAAATCAAATCGAAATAATTGTTCTCATTGCGTATGGACTTATGGCTGATTGTTCGTACATACAGTCCCTGTCGGTATTATTAGACGCACCTTAATTTTTTACAATTCATCGACTTCCGAAGACCAGCTTCATAATACGGCTCATTTATCGATCGAATTATGTTAAGGAACCATTATTCTACAAAAGGTATTTTTCATGACATCATTTCACTTGGCTGTTACAATGACTTTGAACAAGTATGAACCCGCGCTAGCTGCGTCGTTGATAATAAAACGAGAACAGACGTGAGTTTTGAGTGTGTGTCAGTTGAAATTTAGTTTTATTTTCGTTTATTTGTGACTTGAATCTTCAAATTCCTCGCTTGACTAACAGAAAAATCAATTTTTGCGTGAAAAATATTAATATCGTTTACAAAAATTACGGGTAAAACAAGTGATTTGACATCCCGGAGGGTTGCAGAAGTAAAACCCGTTGATTGACACACCGAAAGTTACTTTAATCAAGCAACATAAAATTAGTAATTTTTCTTCTCCTCCTAAACTGTATTTTATTAAAAAATCAAAGTGCGTCTAGTAAATATGGCCAGGAGTTGTATGACAAAGGGGAAAAGAAGAGACTGTAGAATCGCCAAGGAAAATTGCAAATTGATCGTAACTCACTTTTGCATCAACCTATCCATGATATGTTTAGGGATTTTCACGAATTCATCGTTATTACACTTCTGGCAACGACTGAAAATGTCATTCCGCGTGACCTTGACGCCGAAGTGGCTTAAGACCTCATACAGCTGCTTCTCAGGCGTGTCTTCCTCTACTCTGTAGCATTTATCCAGCGATATGTACTTCTCGAACTGAAATATAATAATAAAATATAACAAATCTTTTACGGTAACAATTGTTTAGAATAAGTGTCACAGCATCAGCTCAAAAAAAAAATACGATACAAATTGAATACTTACTCTTTGATAGTTTCTGTGACGTGTCAACAAATACCTCTGTTCAGTCATCGCTAATGTGGCGGATTCATTCCCTCCCTCGTCAAACAATATATGGACACAGTCCACGCCACACATTCGTAATCTGCTGCTCAAGCCGCCCAGCATCGAGTCACACACAACGCGCCATGTGTGCGCGGCGATTGGCTCGCCACACACTTGCACAGATTGCGGTCTGCTGTTATCCAAAATATTTTTCATCTTATATTCTACATCTCGTTTGTTCTGGAAGTCTTTGTCCTGAACATCCTGTCTACTCCAAATATCTCTTCTATCCTGACTACCGTATCTATTGTGATTGTCGCGTTTATTTTGATTATCATATCTGCTTCGGCTATCGTGCCCACTCTGGCCATCATACCTACGCTGGCCATCGTATCTGCCCTGACTATCGTACCTGTTCTGGCTATCGTATCTGCCCTGACCATCGTACCTGTTCTGGCTATCGTATCTGCCCTGACCATCGTACTTGTTCTGGCCATCGTATCTATTTTGGCCATCATATCTGCTTTGGCCATCGTATCTATTCTGGCCGTCGTATCTATTTTGACTATCGTACCTGCTATGGCTGTCATATCTATTCTGATTGCTATATGCTTGTTTGTTTCGGCTTTCGCGTTGGTTGTAACTGTCATCTTTGTTACAGTTATTGTATCTATTTTGGTTATCGTGTTTGCTATAATTACCGTTTCCGTTATAACTATCCGGTTTGTTATAATTATCGTGCTTATTATAGCTATCCTGTTTGTTATATTTATACTTTTTCTGGTTATCGTACCTTTTACGATTGTCATATTTGTTCGGATTATTCTGTGAATACCCATGTTTAGACATAGATCCGTTTTTAGACATTCCATCGTATTTTGGCACAGCTCCTGTATTCATAGCGTAATTCTCGTTGCTTCTATTACCCGCTACTAAATTAGGACGCATGGGTTTCTATAAAATGATTAACAATTAATTCATAAACAAATGAGTGAAAGAAGAATTTGTGTAAATTTATTTGTATCTTAATCTACATCACACACAAAAGGCGTACATTAATAACTTTAATCTACATCACACACAAAAGGCGTACATTAATAACTTTAAATAACAATAGTCAATGTCCATCTATAATTATTTATATTTGAAGGAATACAAAAAGAGGTATATAATTTGGAAAATATAATAATAAATAGCTTTCCTTTTTTTCACCATGTAGTTATGAGCTATTTAACGTCTTATTTTAACATGTTGATATAATTCTTTGTGATTTATACCTTGTACGTAGGCTTATTTGTATTTGTTTTCTGGAGTCTCTGTGGCATATGGTATACTTCGTTACAGATATCTTGAAATGGTATGTCCATATCTGATGAGGATTCTGCTAGTATATTATATATCTCCACCAAACAATAGGCGTCCAACGCTGTTACGATAGACAAATAAATATGATAATATTGAAACTTTATATTCCGCAATTAGAAGAATAAGTACCAACCAGCGTATATTATTTGACTTTCTCGTAATGGTCTCAATTCCCAATTCGAGAATTGATCAGACTTGTCGAGCTTTTGTCCAAAACACAATTCCACGAGTTTGCTTAAGCTTTTGCCTGTGAATTTTGGATCTCCCTTATATGGGAAAATAAATTTGTAATCGTCCGATAATTTATTCCATAAATCCATTAAGTCAAGGTATCCTTGTCCATATGTTTTTATGGATGACAAGGCAGGCAAACTTTTCCGTATTATCGTCATATCGTGTGCGATTCCAAATCCTGTAATAACGCATAATGATAAAACCAAGCATTTCGTGTACAACATAAAAGACATTTCAAGGATACGTACCTAATTTGATTATATCTTGATTTCCAAATAATATGAGGCCTAATTCACTCCACAAGTCATACAATTCATTGCCAAGCGTAGTTACATCCAGAATATAAACATTTTCATTGGTGGCTATTTGTATAAGCGCTAGCTCTGACTGCTTACTTACTGTTAACATTTAATTACTGTTTAAGGTTTTTTTATTTTAAATGAAATATTACAAATTATTTTAGTCTCTACATACTCAAAAATATATTTCATTACCGAAACTAGGCTTCCATTCTGAATCGATTCCAACTATGCCGACACCTTTCAATCCATGATCAAGAAATTCTTCAAATAAACGTCCATTATCTATTACTTTTATACGGTCTCTCGGTAATTTTAAAACATGATACTTTTCACTGTGTTCATTTAATGGCCGATTTCTTTCGCTACTAGAAGATGCACCATCATTTATATCTGCAATATATATACATACATATATATATACATACATACATACATACATGTGTGTATGTGTGTGTGTGTGTGTATAATGTATATAGATATTTTTACAATTGTAAAGATATAAGGATAAGAGTATTGATGATAATATTACTTTCGTCATCTTGTTCTTTTGCATATATGATATGCCATGGCCACTGTTTTTTGGGTATCTCAAATTCTTTCGCCCAGTACAAACCTTCTTGTACATCATTAACATTAACTAGCATTGAGAGTAGATTTGCTTGTAAAGTAGCATCATTACCTACTGCTTCTCTTACCATTTCCCTCCAACTATCGGCACCTGCGATGAAGAATATAAATTAGTTAAAAAATACTAATGTTATATATTTTTATTATCCAGTAGAAATAATAATTTTTAAATAATAAATAATCTTTAAATAAATGTAAAGAAAATAGACACTTACTTAAACTACCATCGACATAACGCTTATGTATAAGAAATTGTATCGCTCCTTCGCTCCGTTTTGTGTTTAAATGAGGGCACAAATCAGGTGATAAATCATGTTGCTTTATTAAACGAGCAATAAGCTTGGTCATTGGACGAACATGCGACGTTGATATTTTAACATCGGTTATATTATTTTTCCTAAAAGAATTTATTTCAGTAAGAATCTCAAGTAAATAATTAAATTTTTAAGTAAGTAGAACTATTATTAGACATTAGAACTTACCGAATAAACCGATCCAATATAGCTTGCATGCTTCTCCCTGGTGCTATTAAATTATCTAAATATTTGATCAAGGTTATTTGTACATCAGGGCAACCAATTAAAAACTCATCCATAACAGCCAACTTATTTTGCAATATAAGTGGTAATAACAATATCTCTGGATCTTTGAAGCAATGTTGCAATTGCAATATCGCAGCACATTGCGCAGCTTCTTTGTATTTTTTTTCCTGAATCGTTTTCTGAAAAAATATTTAAAGATATAAGATAAAAAATATATATGTATTAGTAACATGTATTAATTAATTTAAGTGACCTGTATTAATTGTGAGAAGATTTCTTTATGTTCTACAAATTCATATAAAATAGAAACCTTCCTAATTAAAGGTTTCTGGTTACTTAATAACTGGAAAGCTGCTATTTTCAAATCAGGAACAAGATATTCCTTATAAGCTTCTTTTCTATCTTCAAGCCAATATGAAAACTCATCTATGACTGTAACATTATTAAATATAAGTTTATTTTTTCATGTATGACTGTAACATTATTAAATATAAGTTTATTACTTTAAAGGAATTTAAATTATTTCTTATAAATACAAAATTCCAAAATATTGTTACAATTGTTGTAAGAAATAATTTTCTCCATATTATATAAAATATTCAATATTACTGTTTAATAAGATATACTAAAATGATAACAATAAACGTATATATATCAAATAAATATTTAAGAAATGTACCGTCAATCGCCAGCTCTGTAGACTCTCTTTTTACATGTCTTGCATTTGTATTTGGAATATTTGTTAATATTTTCAAGGTGCTAAGATACGGATTCGGTGCTGTTTCGAAGTAATCTATTAATGTTTTGCTAATAATTTCACACTTTTTCCCTAAAAATATAATTGCCAATCAATTCATGCTCTATAAAATTAAAATAGAGTGGTTATATTGGATAAGTCAGCTTACATAGTAACCACATATGCTCCAGGGTTTCTATCCATTTTTTCGTCGCACTGTCTATCGACGAGAAGTATAACAAATCTGTGTCAATATTCCAACAATTGCCCGCTGCCTCGTCATCGGGAAAATCATCGGGATTTTCTGTTTCGTTCATTTTCGCCTGATTCATGACTGCAAGCCTTGAAATCCGTTTGAAGAACTCCCAAGGAATTAACACTGTGAGAGGACACCTCACGCAAATTCCAGCGATAAGAGAACAATAGAACACGGCAAATATCGTTCATTTGACGTCAAGGTTGCGATATCAGCAAAGATAAATTTTACCCGGAGCTTAACCGATACGTCACCACGTATGTGCCATTCATATCTCGAAGGTGGATGCTGCCCAATGAAATATATTACATCAAAAGTGCGTTCAAAAATTCTACTTGACTGATAGAGCAGCTTTTAATTGACCAATCGAGATGGAAAGAGTAAAGATTTCTTTATCATGATTGGTTAATAAACACTGCCCGTCGGATTAGTAGGATTTCTGAACACACCCTCTGATATGGCTGTCGCACATCGAGCACTTCGTAACTGGTAAAAAACGACGAGGTAACCAACCATTTTTGGTAATTCACTATTTGTCGTCCAAAAAGTTCACGTGAGTTTCAACAGATGCCACTGTGAGCGTTACGTTGTGACGCAGCCTTCCGCCACAAGTTGTCACGCGCGGCAACACTTCCGGGAGACACGCCATTGGCACTTTCAAATTTCTCAACATCTCAATTTCCACCTGAAGAATATCGGCTAAGTGGAGCATTTCTAAAAATACAGACCGTTCTACCATGATTTAAATTTAATCGATGATTAACTCAGCAGAATTGACCAATCGTATTGGCCAATTAGCTAAAGTGATCAATACGATTGATTAATTCCGTTACGTTAATCGTATGTCGATTAGATTTAAATCATGATGGTAGAAACAGACGTAATTCGTTCTCTCATTGGACCGTCAGCTACGCTCTGAACTTATCCGCGTCCAAACCGTATTGCTTTCTATTGTATTTATCTTCCGTCAGTTGGGAAAATCACGATAATTTCGCCTCGAATTTCGATCTCTCATAATTTTACCTTAGAGTCCTTACCGGAAGAGTCCAGCGTGTGAATTTCGGAATTTTTGAAAGTGCTTCGAAAGTGAAAAATCAAGATATAATCAAATTAGGTACGTGTCCTTGAAATGTTTTATGTTGTACACGAAATGCTTGGTTTTATCATTATGCGTTATTACAGGATTTGGAATCACACGATATGAGGATAATACAGAAAAATTTACCTGCCTTGTCATCCATAAAACATATATGGACAAGGATACCTTGACTTAATGGATTTGTGGAATAAATTATCGGACGATTACAAATTTATTTTCCCATATAAGGGAGATCCAAAATTCACAGGCAAAAGCTTAAGCAAACTCATGGAATTGTGTTTTGGATAAAAGCTTGACAAGTCTGATCAGTTCTCGAATTGTAAATTGAGACCATTACGAGAAAGTCAAATAATATACGCTGGTTGGTACTTATTCTTCTGCCGTATGTTTGTTTGAGAAGTGGTGTGTAGAAGCAAGTGTCATTAGTAGGAATATCGATGAAATTCGAGACATGAAAATTCGAAATTCAAATGGTTGCATCTCAATCATTTGATTTTTCAACGTTTTTCAACGCTTTCGATTCATTGAAAGTAATTCATCAAGTTGATAACATTTATAATGTATGTCATTTAATGATATTAGAATGCGAACGTGATATGGCAGACAGCGCACTGGTCTGCAACACCAGAGGTCCCGGGTGTTCGATTCCCGGCAAGATCATTGTTAACATTTGTCCCAAACATTAAAAACAATATTTATTACATTATGATTTTAATATTTAGAAATATGATACAATCCACATAAAATTAATCTTTTGAATCACTGATTTTATATGGATTTTATAAACATTTAGACATAATATTTTATAAATGTTTCTAAACTGTTACTTAAAATATTATATTTTTAAATATTAAAATTATGATGTAGAAGCATTTTTAATGTTTCGGTCAAATATTATTAACAATAACATTGTATGCAATATTAAAAGAGACATATTTGAAAATGTTACATGTTTTATAAAATATCATTGTAATGTTATGTTAACATATTTTGCTCACTGAGTATAAACAACACGAAAGAGATTGTTTAGATTCAGGCTAGATTTGTTTTGATTTAGGCTAGATTTATATAAGAATATTTCGAATTCATACATATTATTGACATTCGAGCATGACATAACAGACAGCACACTGGTCTTACTAGGATTAGTGGTCCCGGATTCGATCCCAGTTAGAAGAAAATTCATTTACGCTCTTGTCTACTCTTGGAAAGAAGCGATAACCTACCGAAAGGTATCTTTACCATGATGAACGCCTCTCTCTCAAAAAATTGCCGTTCGGAATATGGGACCTACACTAGTTTAACGCCGACTCTGAATGGTACATTTTTTGCCGAGAGGTTGCTTTGGGCAAATATATAACCCTGGGTTTTGGCCAGACCCGTCCAGAGAAGACACGAGCATATATAAATTTTCCGGGCATTGTATACAACGTTAAGAAATACATATTTGAAAACATGTTATAAAGTGTCATTGTAATAACGTTATGTTAATGATTTCTCGCTACTGAGTACATACTACTTTATATTACTTCTAATATATCGATTGAGGTTCAACAAATGCAACGCTTATACATCATTCATTCATGCAACGTTTATATATAAAAAATTATTATATATAATTACAATTTTTATATATAATTAAAATTTAAAAATTATTATATATAATTAAAATTTTTATGTATAAAAATTATTTATGATTGGTTTATGATAATAGATATATCACACGCACAATATATGCATTCATTTTTCGAATTATCCAATTTTCGAAAAGTCAAATTACTCAACTATTGTGTCTGTTGAACACAACAGTTGTTTAATGAAATATCGTTATTTGTTTTTTAATAATCACAGTTTTTAAGCAAAATTATTAGAGAAATCGTTCAAACGATAAAAAAAGCAAATAAATAATATATTAATATTTTTGGCATCTAATTTTAACTTCATTTTGAAAATTTGTATAAAATATTTGTATATAATTTTAACTGAATTTTGAAAATTTATATAAAAATGTTGAATACTGTATTTTCTTAATTAACTTATGCTTTAACGATAAATGATTTGTCTAGTTGCGCCATTATTACCAAATACTATTTTGATCAAATTATCATATAAAATCTTATGCATTGCATATTTTTCACTAGATAAACAAAACAACCATTTATTTAGTTTACAATAGTACAAGATTTTTATATCACATTATTTTAACAGAGAAAATGTTTCGTTACAATCTGTGTTTTACTGTTAAAATCAAATTTTAGACAATATCAGACACGAAGTTCGGCATCAGTATAGCAAGCTGTTTGAATTTGAAAATATAATTATATTTTTTGAAAATATAATTGTATTTTTTGAAAATATAATTATAATTTGAAATTATAATTATAATATTAGCGAATTAACGTTAATGTTTCAATTTGACACATTAACGTTCATCGTTATATTTTGCCTGACTAATACGGTTTTAATTGTCGTGCCATCTTCTCCGTTTCTGTTCTCATTTTCGTTATCGCTTTCGATAGTGATGGATTCATTGAGACTAGTATTGCCAACGTCATCATTAGAGGATAAAGAGACAGTTTGCATCCGCGCAACGTTTCTTACGTTATCCTCAAGTTCTGCAATTTGTCTCGGTATTAGGATGGCTAATCTGTAACATATATCAGAATTTATCAACAAGTGTGCCCGTGTAACAATCTATGTTAATTTAAAATTTATAAAATTGTTGAAGAATCATCAAATAATTAAAATAAATAAGATATGCAATTTAATATCAATCGACACGTGATCGTGAAATAGCAAGCAAAAAATTTGAATGATTATGCAAATCCATTACATAACAAAGACTATTAGATTCAAACTCGTAATTGTAAATGCTTAAGATAATTTCATTCATGATAAATGTTTCAATTAATATATAAATAATCGTACAAATACAGATGCGGAACGTTTTGAACCTGTTTTAATAATTATCAATCGTTAATTGAAACAAGTGATTGTTCACAGGAACTTGTTAATATTCGTATATTATTCAATATAAAGTTGAGATCCAGTGTAAGGCTAACAAATTTGTAGATTTATTGGAACACAATTGCAATTACAAATTTGATTTTAGCATGTATGGTGTCGAATGACGTTACTCTATCATTAATCAGATGTTGAGAGAAATTAAGATACTTCAAATAAATTTCTCTATCCCTGAGAGAGATCTGCACAGTCTTCATTAAAAGTTCTAAATTATCGTAAAAGCAACTTTTTTTGCATCACTAGTCTGCATTAATCACTAGCCTGCGATTATAAAGTCTGTAGCAACTATGCAGATGTAAAGCAATGTCTGACACTCAGAAATTTTCAATATTATTAAAACATCTCATCTGTACAGTCATTCTTTCAATTAGCTATTAAAAATATCTTTAAAAAATGATCAAAACGTTTCGAATTTATTTATAAGATTACTTATGTATCATTAATAAAATTATATTTCCAATACAATAATTTTATGCAATTGCGAATTGGCTCTAATAATCCATCATTTAATGAAGTAAACATGTATGTATGCGTATTACTCTTGATCAGTATCAGGATTGTTTCTTGCTGGCCGAAGATAAACTTGAGGTGCTGCGTTATTACGAGGTGGCATGTTATGTTGAGCAAATTCGACGTTATTGATTCGACCTGGGAAATTTGCATTCTGGACATAATTTGGTTCATAAAATACAGAAGCGTTCTGCAATTTTTCCCTAACTATTGCTTCCTCATTATTATTAGCAAGTTGCTGGCAGGTTTTCCTCTCTTCATCAGATTCTGAAAATGAATATTCATAAGTTATAAATTGTTTGTTTAAACAGCACATATGCGTATCGTCAATAATTTATAAAATATAATGTCCTCTACAAAATGATTATTATATTTACAATGATTCATATTTTCTAATTAATGTGAAAGTCGTCGGAGATTTTTAAGCATATATTTATAAATTATCTATAAAGCCGTTACTGACACAGTTAATTCACAGCTAATCACAGCTAATTCTCAAAATATAATTATATTTTCAAATTCAAACAGCTTGCTATACTGATGCCGAAATTGGTGTCTGATATTGTCTAAAATTTTATTTTAACAGCAAAGCGCGGATTGTAACGAAACATTTTCTCTATTAGAGAAATGTGATATAAAAATCTTGTACCATTGTAAACTAAATAAATAAAACTATACAAACACATATTACACACGCGCATGCAAAATTAAACAACTCACTGTGTGTGATGTAGGATCCTTCTGGTGGCGCACTGGGCTCAAGTGCGTCTACTCGATGGATCACTGCTCGTTTCTTACCTATTTCAAAATATTATAATGAAATAACGTATATTATCAATATTTTAATTTATATAATTATATATAACTTAATAAGTATTTTTTAAATAATTTTATTTACTAAAGTGTTGAAACACGCTCGAACCTTTTTTTGTTTTATTACGTACGTTTTAATATATAAAAAACGGAATTGTGCTGTATTACGTATGTTTTGTTTTCATTAACACGTAAACTGGCACGATTAAATTTCCTGGAAAGGTTAAAAGGATAAAAATTAATCCCACCGATAGCCTGCGTATTCAGTTACTGTCCTGAATAACGATATGTATTATCAACGGTATATATCAAAGGAATAGTGAAATTAAACGGAAAGCATTATTATTTTCGATCACTTATTTCATTACAAGCATTTTATTCTAATTACGCATAACCACAAAGCAATCTATTATAAGCACAAAAACAACATAGACAAATTATATAGAAGTATAGTACCACCCGTATAGTGCAATTATGTTTGACTCCATAATGGGGAAAAGTATTACCAGAGTTTGAAAAGTTGCTTTTCAAATGTAAAAATCGTTATTGTTGCTCGTTATCACCGGAAATAATATCTTGTAACGATAACAACATTACAAGTAACGTATTATTTCTTAACTTCAAGGTTTAAATTATATATGTTAACAAATAATTTATATATAGGATATAATAATTATATATAGGATGTCCTAAATTAATTTCGATTCCCGTGATGAAGTAGAACGGGTGAAACTGTGCAAAAAAATCACGTAACATTTTGCAAAATTCGTAATAGTTAGTGAAGAATTAATTCTTTTGTCGGAACTGATGAGCGCCCGAGAAAGAATAGGCTGGACTCTCTATAAAGAAAAATGGCTTACTTCTGAAGATTTCCTAGTAACAATGAGTATCAACTGATAGTGAGAAGCATATTTTTTTTCAGTGCACAACTCTGTGTCACATGTTGTTCGCTGTTTGCTACGTTACTCCATTTAAAAATCAGTTGATGCCTATCATTGTTAAGAAATCTTTAGAAGTAAGCCATTTTTCCTTAAGGTGTCTTTTTCTATACAGTATCCGGTCTACTCCTTCCGAAGAAGAACAGTTTGGGACACCCTGTATAATGTGTAAGACAATTATATATGCAGAGTGTCCCAAACTAATTTCGGTTCCCGCGGTATGTAGGTAGAACGGGTGAAACTGAGCAGAAAATAAAATTATACAAATAAATTAAAACTTCATACCAAAATCCTTTATGGAACTTTATGGATAATGCTAAACTTATATGCAAACGACTGTAACAAGTATGCTCTACTTTGGAGTCAAAAGGATTGCAACAATAAACTCAGTTTTCGCGTATTATCAGTAACAGACGTAGCAGCAAACGTGTTAATAAGAACATATTACACTAAACATTTGTACATGAAAACATATAAAACAAAATGTACTTGTGCAGTATTTATTTCTACAATGCACTATTTTAGTATTTTTATACGCAAAAAATAAAAACTGATTAATATAAAAAAGAAACACATTGTTATTTGGAAAAAATTAATCTCCACAGCTTCAATTCTCTATACATTTATACAAAAACAATTATCACCATACAATGTCTTTTTATATCATGCAATCTCTATTAAATATATTTATTTTTGACATATGTTAGAAATATTAGAATTTGACATATATTTAGAAACATTTAGAATGCTTAATTCACAGTATAGTATTCTACATAGATAACAACATAATTACTTATTGTAAATGAGGAAAAAGAAACGCTCAACATTTATGACGAGAAAATGCGTAAAATAAAATATTAATAGGGAAATAATAACTTACGTTTTTTCAAGATGCAGATGTGGATTATATATACGACGAATATTATGAGAGCCACAACCAATATTGGTATAAGAATACTCAATTTGAATTCTGCAAATCATAAATGCATTAAATATTTAAAGAAATATAAAAAAGAAACTATTATTAATATGCACGCTTAAAATACAGTTGTGAATATTTTGTAATGTTAATTCCTCTTGGGTAACTTCGATTGCAATTCAAACAATCGAGCATATAAATTACTTTTATATTTATCTAGAAATATTATACATTGGAAAACAACAATATTGTTCACGTACACATACAAACACACTCACCTGAATTGTGAATGGCGATACAATGATCTTTGATTGTACCATCTATAAGAGGTTTCGATTTAAATCTATAAAACGAGAAAAACACATTATATAAAGTATAGTCATTTTTTTAAATTATTGTCATATAATATAGTCCTGACACACATGACCATCATTGAAATTGACGATTATCGTCATACGATATCATCCTAATTGGGCATATACTTTGCAACTCACGATTCAATGAACTAAATGGGAATTTTATACCGACATTTGTCGCTTGTCAACTAAGTTATCGACCGACTATGAAAACATCTTTTATATTAATGCATGAAATAAGAGATTTTATTTTTCCATGAATATTACATAATGCAAAAGAAAAAAAAAAGAATGTTACGATTTTGTGTGTGTGTGTGTGTGTGTTTGTTCATTACTTTTAAGCAAGGCAAGCTATTATGAACCCTTTATATATTGACGATAAAACCAGTCCATTTTATATATTGACGATAAAACCAGTCCATTTTATATATTGACGATAAAACCAGTGCATTTTATATATTGACGATGAAACCAATACGCTTTTGTACTTGCCAATCCAATAATGTGTTTAATGTGATATATTTTTGTTGGCTCGAGTGTTTGTCTAAAATTTTTCGCTTTTATGATAGTCATTTTAACAAAATGGTATGTTAAAAAAAGATGATTTTTTAAAAGTAGGTGAAATCACATTTTTAAAGCGTTTTGAGCACTACGTACAGACAAAATTGGATTTTTTTTAATATAGCGCATGTAAAAGACTAAGGCAAATCATTTTCAAGAAGCACTTCAAGTTACGTGCAGAGAAACAATGCAACACGCTATTATATACAGCATATAATGTGTGGTTAAACGCGCTCTAAGAAGGTCACTGATAAGCAGATTTTATAATGAGATGTATAGGCCAGCAATCTATGTCATTTGTATATTATATAAATGTAATAATCGGCATGATGTAACGAAAAATATGTGACTTATTAAACGAAAACTTACTAACTGCGACTTAATTAAACGAAAAATTAATACAGTAATTTTCTTACCCTTCCAAGCATCCTCCACACTGAAGAGCGTCACGCGCAGGTTGTGTACTTTCTGCACGATTGTAAGTGTTACATTCGACAAAATCGACACAAAGATTAGAAATGTAGCACCACTGTCCCACGGGGCAGTCATGGTCCGCATTACAAGACACCTGCAATATATTTGGATTCGTTATTTCACCTTTTGGTGCGAATCAGAAGATAACCGAAATAATTCTTTCAGTCTTATCTTTTTCGTTTTACTATTCCTGAATATTTATTTTAATAGATATTTTTAGATATCTGTTCACAGAGAAAAGGTTTCTTTGGGTTTAATAAAATTTCTTTAATTGAAACAAGCTTGTCTTTTGAAATAGAGCAAACAAAGTAACGTTTGATTCAACAAACAGGATTGTTTGATTTCTGAAACAATAAATATCTTCACTTAGCACATTTCTTTTATATTTTCATCCAACTATTACAATGGTCATTACAAGCGACAAATTATTTGAAAGAAGTACACTAAGTTAGAAAAATATTAAAGAACTTCTTCGTTCCAGTAGAAAAATATTTAATGTATAATGAAATAAATTTCTTTTTATTGAAAACCAAATATATTTCCTTTAAATAATATTATTTTTTTCCTATCAAATAACATGGTTTACTCTAATGAAATAACAAAGAAACTTTTTTCTCTAGAGCTGATAGCGTGATGATACCGTGTATTTTTTTACTTATTAGACAGAAGGACAGTTATAATTTAATATACAACTAAAATTTATAGTAAAGAAAAATAGAATAAATTATTTGTCAATCCGGTACAAACAAATATTAAATTAACAAAATGTGTTGTAAATAATGCAACTTTAATTATTATTTTAACACGATCATGAAATCAACAATTCTATTATTTTTTAATTACACTCAATATTTGTTTAAACCAACTTTCAATTTGTTACAGTCAAATAGACTTTATGTTTTAAATTCTGTTTTAGATGGTCATAATGAATTAATAGAATTCTATTTGTAAGAAAAAAAAGGAAACAAGAGAAACACAATTATGTTTACAGATGTATGCATATATATCTAATATAGTTCTTCAGATATTCTTTGTTTTGTACGATACAAAATTATAGGTAGGATCGTTTTGAATTATGCTATGACTTTGAAATTGTCTGCAGTAAATAAAAGAAAAATAAACGTAGAATTCCAATGATGATAGTTCCTGACACTGCGAGTTCGTATGATGGTCCAATAATGACAGATGAATCGCGTGCAATGCATACAAAGCTGACCGTATCCAAGTCGTACGTCATAATATTAAATAGAGTTATCAAAAGATACGGTTGCGTCATATCAAGATATTTATATCTGTTTATCACGTATATTTTCTGGAGCCAAAATAATTCAATAAATAATTATTCAGATATTATGAACGAAATCATATAGTTCAAAAAGATCGTGAAATACTATTTGAAATAATACTAATAATATTGGAAAAGTTAATGGAAAGTTAATTAATGCGAAAATATTCGTGATTTTTAATAAAACAATTTTTGAAAGAATGATTTCTTGTATAAGAATTTAGAGACTGCCCAATCACGATTCACATCCCGTCTTCGTCATTACTTTTCATGCGAAAAATACCGCATATGTTTTTCCAAGAAATGCAGTAAACATTTTCAATGTAGATATATATCTTTCGCGTAAGATAATGTTTTTAGATTATGCTTTCATATGGAAACAAATATTTCGTTAAATTCAGCATTTCTGTTTGATTTGTTCCGTTAAAATTTGTTCCATTAAAATATTATAATATTATGCAAAACATTATTTTTATTCACAATACAAATTTTATTGTTCCGTTGGATTAAATATTTAATGGGAAAATATTGTTATTTCATACGTTGTTTTTTTCAGACTCAGTAGGTGATTTTTCAGACAACTACTATAAATGTTTGATTAAAAAATTCAGAATCGTGAAACAATCAATTTTATATTATATTAGTATTCGTCGCATATTGATTGTTCTTATCTCACACAAAAGATATATTTATATAGGCGTAAGTCCCAAGAATAACGTATGAGTCAGTAGAGTTAGTGGTTGCCATCGAACCATCAAAGTTCAGCAACGGTGCGCAACGTTTAGTAGTTGGATGGGTTAACCTCCTCCGGTCGAGAATTGAAGGGAACCACTACCGCGACGTTATAAAAGTTTTCTTTTTCTTTCGTATAAATAATAAAACTAGAAACAGAAAAGAAACAATTTATCATTGCTCAATTTTTCGCAGCTAGTAATACTTTTTTTGTAAAGGAATATAATTGTGAAATGTCATTGTAATATTATTGTGATTCGTTTTGGCAGACATTTTAATATTACTGTGATATCTCAGTAATATTGTAGCATTATTTTTGCTATATTACATTGTAATATTACAATGAAAATATGATATTCCCGTACTATGTGGGACGGTTAGAATGGATGACTACCATAATGATAACCATAATGAACATATGTATAAAAAGAAAAAGAAAAAAAAAACAAATATATTATTTAAAATAATTTCATGATTTGGTAAGAAAAACTTATAATTTTGTTTTGTTTATTTTACTAAATAGAAAAAATGGAAAAAGGCATTTTATACATGACTTCTGCCAGTTTCTACCAACGTTACGATGCAATAATGCAAATAAACCTTAATCTTAACCTGAATTTAAACTCTCTACAGACTAAGATCTCAGGTTAAAGTTGAGTAAAAACAATAATTAATAATTTTCAGTATTAAATTTCTATAAGAGCATAG